CCGCCTCCTCCCCCGTCGTCGTAAAGGGCAAAAAAAGGAATCTATAAATCACAGCGCAGGGTTGGAGTTTGACACACCACGCAGGCACGCGTGCAACGAAAATTCACTCAGCATTTTGTGTATAATGCAGTTCTTCAGGAAACGTTGGTGTTTTGTTGCACTATGCACTCGGCCTTTTGTGCATTTGTGCAGTTCTTCAGGAACTGCTGGTGGCTTTTGCATAATGCACTCAAGCCTTTGTGCACCCAGAGGATCGACAGGAACCATTGATGGGTTGTTGCTCATTGCGCTCAGCGTTTATCGCACGATGCAAGTTCTTCAGGAGTCGATGATGGCCGTTGCATGGTGCAGTTCTTCGAGAACTGCTGGTGGAGTTTGCAGAACGCGCTCAGCCTTTAGCGCGGTCTTCAGGAACTGCTGTTGATGGTTCAATGTCGTCGGCACACGTGTCCAAATGTTGCTTGGCGCGGATGCAGCAATAAAGGCAATGGTTTATCATCGCCTTTATTGCTGGCACTTTTATTTGACACGTTATTGCAGATGAAGATGTGCACACGGCTCTGCGGTAGAGAGACAGCGGCTCGCAATCGGGAGGTTACGAGTTCAAATCGGGTCTGGGAGAGGATGACTCCGCCAATTAATCCCTCTAAAGATGACCACTTTGACAGTGGTTGTCCTCTGGATATACTCGGCCCCGTCGTACGAATGTGTAATTTCCACCAATAGAAGACAAGCACCTTTTCAATCCACGAGAACGCCGAGGTCTTGTGGCCAACACCACGCCCGGACGCCTTTGTCTCCCCAGTGCTTAATGTGTATACACCGCACCAGGTACCGAGTCTACCACTCGCCACTGACGTTGATAGCCAGAGCTGAGATTCCAAATCGGGTGAGCAGTGCATTCCGATAACCACTGCGCCACCGCTCCCCATACACGCGTACAAAGACAAAGATCCCCCGTATAGCCTTAATATACTTTTGGGGAAAGTGTTGTTCGCGAGCACCTATCAATGTCGGCACGCTACACGAAGGGTGGGTGGCCAGCACCACGCCTGACCACCTTTGTCTCCCCAGGAACAACGTTTACACACTGCACCAGGTACTCATTTCAGGCTGAGTCGACCTAGAGAAAGGCCAGAACCATTTCGAATATTCGTCACCGAGCGGAAATCGAACTGGAGTGGGGTGGCCTTGTTGGTAGCGCAGTGCCCTAACCACCGCGCCACCGCTCTCCAACACGAGCAAAGACAAAGATCCCCCGTGTAGCCTTAACAGACTGTTTGGGCAAGTGCTGTTAGCGAGTAGCACCTATGAAGGCCGATACGGCACGCGAGGGGGTGGGTGGCCACCATCCACGCCGGGCCGCCTCTGTCTCCCCAGTTGCGATGTTTACACGCCGCTCATTTGAGGCTGAGTCAACCTAGAGGGGGGGGTGAGGTGGGGTGGGGGGGGCGCAGGACCGGTTCGGCATATCGTCGCCGGTGGCGGACTACAAGCCATGGATCGAACTCGGGTGTCCCGGCTTCGTAACGGAACTCGCTCGCGCGGAGACAAAGGCAACGCATTTAGACTGCCGGAGTGGTTAGCGAGCGCCTATTAATAGAGAGGCGCTCTCAAGAAAACGCGCTTGAGAAAGACCACGCAGACTGCAGGCGCGTGTGTCCGTCTTGTCGGCCCTTGCCATTGTTTAAATAAAGCCAGTTGCAGCCAGGGACGGATTAAGGCACGGGGGGCTTTAGGGGCTGCAAGCCCAGGGCGCTCCGTCAGCTGCAGGGCCTCCAGAGATTGAAGTGAAAAGCTATTTCGTTTGTGAATGCTGAATTGTATTTGTTGTTGGCCTTGTAAAAATACAATTTTATTTTTTCTTTAACTTTGTTTTCCTTTTGAAAATAGTACTGTGGGCCTCACAGTATCTGTAACCCAGGAGCCTACACAATCTTAATCCGGCCCTGGCTGCAGCCCAAACACCCAACCCATACGGTTTAAATCCGTTTTCTTGTACAGGGAAATTGAGTTTGCAGGTCCATACGGCGTACAGCCGTTTCGATATGGGCAAAAATTGTGTTTTGTCTATTTTGTTTGTGTTTCTCCCTTGTGATGGGACTTTGTAGGATGAACGTTGAGATTGATAAGGGGCACGGAGTGACCAATACGGTCTGAATTGGTCTGTAATAAGGTAGGCAGCAGTGATATAAGTGGTTTACAGGTATGTCATTGTTTAAAATAAAACAAAAATCTTTAACGCTAATCAGAACGCACGTGTGCACGTTGGACTTCTTTCGCACCGTACACGTAACCATCGGAAGGCGCGACGTGAGTGGCGATGCCTTCTGCTCTGGCTCTCACCCAGTGTTGTTCTTTTGGCATTGTTTGGGACTTTAATTTTGCGGGGGGGGGGGGGGGGAGGAGGACGGGCTGGGGGGCTCAGACCCCCCGACGCTGCTGAGCTGCATCCACATCACTTTAACACAGCAGCAGCAGTAGCAGCAGCAGTAGCAGCAGTAGTAGCAGCAGCAGTAGTAGCAACAGCAGCAGTAGCAGCAGCAGTAGCAGCAGCAGTAGCAGCAGCAGCAGTAGCAACAGCAGCAGTAGCAGCAGCAGTAGCAGCAGTAGCAGCAGCAGTAGCAGCAGCAGCAGTAGCAGCAGCAGTAGCAGCAGCAGCAGTAGCAGCAGCAGCAGTAGTAGCAGCAGCAGCAGTAGCAGCAGCAGCAGCAGAAGTAGCAACAGCAGCAGTAGCAGCAGCAGTAGTAGCAGGAGGCGGTTTCCGCGACTAATATCATCCATAGTGCAGGTCTTTTGGGTTAGATCGCGTCAACGTTTACGTAAATGATTACGTAAATGTTTACGTACATATTGATGTAAACACCGCCACAAGGGAGACGTAAATATGTACGCGATCTTACAAAAATACAGTTATTTGCGCGATCTAACCCAAAAAACCCTGTATTATAGTTAGATCTCGCTCACCGCTACATGCACACACACGTACACACATAGATACATGATCTCTATCTTAATTGCAATCAGCGCTCTCTACGTCACATGTCATAGATACGTACACACGCACTCAGTCTTCATTTGGATTAGCATTCCGTGCGTCAAATACATACACACGTACACACATACAAACACACTCGACCATCCACACGTACATACAAAGATCCCCCATATAGTCTTAACAGGGGCAAGTGCTGTTAGCGAGCACCTATGAAGGCTGGAACGGTACACGAGGGGGTGGGTGGCCAGCACCACGTCCGACCGCCTTTGTCTCCCCAGTGGCGATGTTTACACACCGCACCAGGTACTCATTTGAGGCTTGGTCGACCTAGGGGAGGCCCAGGACTGGTTCAGATAATCGTCACCGGTGTTGGCCGTGAACGGGAATTGAACCCGGATCGCCGGGTTCATAGTGCAGCGCGCTAACCGCTACACTACCGCTCCCCACAACACGTACACAAAGACAAATACACACACTCACAACACGTGCATACATACACACTGAAGTTTTCCGTGGTAAAGGAATCGAACTCAGGTCATCGGATTCATAGTGCAGTGCGCAAACCACTTCGCCACCGCTCCACCCTCTGCGTTAACTCCATCGCACTACATTGCCTTGGGCCCTCTATCATTCATTCATTTTCTCCGTTTGGAATTGCTCGCATTCTGGAACGCGTCCGCGCTTTGATGTGTTAATTGACTAATTGCATCGCTCTTCCTCGCCCTTTCATAATAACCTCACGCCTGTGTTCGTTATCATTGTTAATATTCCGAATCATTACTACAACAGTGAATGTTTTGAATTGTTTCTGGTCAACGTCTATCTGTAAGTGGATCGCGTTCTCCGATTACGGACCTCTTTTTTTTTATAATAAACAACGAAACATTCACTTTTATTCTCAACAAAAGTTCACTTTTGTTTTAAAACAAATATTTCTGTTAAAAAAATTACAATAACCGGAGTAGTGAGAATGGTTAAACATCTTTTTTTTACCCAAGTCTAGTGCATACTGTGGATGCTCTCATCCAGCAGTAGATTGACAATACGACTTCACGTGAAAATTCCATTCTATTCTTGCCCCATGAGTGGCGGTAAGTTCAGGAGCTATATGTCAATGCAGAAGTCTGCTGATCAGGAGAGAGAGAGAGAGTTCGTGTGGTCGAGATGGCCATCCTCCTCCTCCGTTGAAGGAATGCAGACGACAGTGGTTTAAGATATGGTTCAGAGTTGGGGTGGAGTGACCACGATCTCCGCTCCTGTGATTTCCACCTTTAATTTTAAATGTATTTAAGAAAAGGTGCGCATCGGACATGGCCATTTACGTACAGTGAATCGCATACTAATGCACGGCTCTTGATGTACGATCCACTGCTGGATCGAGGATCCCTCAAAGCGTGTCAGTTACGGGTGTTCTTTGAGCATACTTCACCGCGCGTGTCAGCGATGGGTTGATGATGAAGGGCGCTTTAGAACATCACTCGCTCCGACTGATATCAGCCGTGGCCCGGAAGCGACTTTAGGTCCGCCGGGTTCTCGACGCAGTGAGCGTGCCACCTGTTCCCTCCTATCCCATAATCATCATCATCATCAGCCACGATCCATTCACTGCTGGATGAAGGCCTCCTGACGCCATTGCCACGTCTCAGAGTCCCGCGACGAAAGCATTCCATCTAGCGCCTGCACACACGCTGGCGTGTTCTTCTTCTTCCGACTTTGGCTGCCATTCGTTGTTTAGTCTCGACCTGCGAAACACCGGATCATCTATCTGTGCCTTTAAATAAAGGCGACCTATTCATCTAAGTGGGCTGCTGGCTGTGGGATCTGGAGGCACAACATAAGTGGTGTGGGGGTGGTGGTGTGGGGTGGTCGCTGGGTGGTAGAGGGGGGTGGTCGGGGTCTCTGGAGAACGACCAAGAGGGAATGGGGGGGGGGAGAGGTTGCTAGGACGGGGAGAGGGGGTGGGTAGCAGAGCCATTATAAATCACTGGGCGCGAGGCTCCGAGCGGTCAGAATTCTCTCTACGGACCACCGCGGAGGCGCTGTTTCTGTTCCCGAGGTCATCACCGCAGCAACATGCCCGAGCCAAAGAAAGCCGGTGAGTGGCTCGCACACAGGTTCGACTCCCAGTTCGTTCTCGAAAGTAACGCGCGTCGTTGACGCATTTGGTACTCATCTCCCGTTTGCAGCTCTGAGCCAGTGGTGGAAGTTCCACATTTCTATGGCGGGGTCCAGACTATCCATCCGTCCATTCCATCGGACAACCACCGTTGACTGTGCAGAATCAATCGAGCGTTTCAACGGGTCCGGTCAATGAGACTTCGAAACGTCGAAACCATTTACAGCGCCGCTGATCGATGCGCTGAGATCATCGCCTGGTTCAACGATATCAGCGGCGTGTCTCGGTGTGTCCGACTCGTGATACGTTCACCCCAAAAAATAAACAAATCCCGGCTTGGCCTGCTTGCTTAATCGATTACTGTTGCAAGAGAGTCGGTCCTTGAAGGCTCACGTAACAAGCTGACAGACTTAAACCTGAGGTTACTCATCACCTGCAAATCAATAATAGTAATACAACGAATGCATTGCAGATTTAAAATGAGTATCCCGATAGGAAGACGTGATGTAAAAGATCTCGACAATGCTACCGAAACGACTCATTTGCTTAACGTGTATAAGGCCAGGGCGTGCATCTGTATCAAATGCGGGTCGTGGTGTTGACGGTGGTATCTCAGCATCGTCAGCCAATACACCCAGCGGCACTGTCCGCGCACGTGTCTCGCCATTAAGTATGTGAACAATGTTACGTTTAAAAATACAAAACGACGCGCGCTTATATTTGTCGGGAATATTTAGAGCCGCATTATATAATCACGCACGGTGGTTGTATGAGAATTGTGTTGCAGTCCAGCACTTTAGATGTGGGGGTAATGGAGAGATTATCTCGTGCATCAGACTGCTCACCTGCATGCCTGGCAGGTGGCGTGTGTATGGCGGTACAGCAAGCGGGTCGATGTCCCGCCTGTACCCCTCGTGTGCCTGGAGTTTAATAATTGTAATGAAACAAAAAAACGTAATTTTACCATTCTTCCATGAGTCTCAAGACTCGTTGCCACGAGGTTTCCCTGCTACATTGCGGGCGTTTGGCCAATTCCATCGATGGGAGTTTGGGAGGAAACCGGAGGACCCGGAGAATACCACGTGACGCCTGCCAGGTTGTAACACTCAAATGTCAACACAGATGGGTTCAGGAATCCGCTCCCGTACGCGGATGCCCAATGGCGGAGCCAGGATTTTCAGGTAGGGGTGGTAACCCCTCCAGCAATGAAAAATTATAGAGGAGTTGTTAGTGAGTAAGGAGTTGTTCGTAAGTAAGGACTTGTCCCTTGCTTTTTAATCGACGCGTGTGCGGCGATGGCGCAGCCATCGATCGAGGGTCGAATTCGAACCGCGTCGTGTGATCGGCATCGCGCTCGCTGAAGGTGAATGCCTTCAGGGAAGTCGTGTACTGGATACGCAACTGCGCACAATTCCGTGAGTCACTTATAACTGCTTTGCCGTTACTTATTGCCAATTATGGACTCAGACTATTGTCATATCATCTTATAGAGTCCCTGGCACGTAATAATATGCTACACAGTGGCAGTGGGGGTCGCAAAATGCCGATTTATTAGTAATACACCCCAATGATCCGATCGAAATGAGGGATTTCGAACAGAAAGGAGTTGCTAGTTCGATTTGCTCTCACGCATCAGGGTCTTTGATAGGGGACCGATCAATTAGCCCAAGGCAAGACCCTCCCCAAAAGAGGTATTGGGGAGTCAGCGAAGCCTTTAACTCTATGGCTAGGTAGAGGGATCGTACGGAGGATCAGTGCTGCTCCATCCCGTCCGGCGTGAGGGTCTATTCTCTATGAACACCGGACGGGTTGGCAAGTGTCAGCAGTGGCTGTTATACGTATCAGCTGGCAGCCGCCATAGGAACGTGGAATTTCCACCACCGGTTCAGGGCCCGTAAAACGCGAGCTTTTATAAAAGGAAAAAAAATGCCGATTATTATGCAAGAAAAACGGACACTCGATACATTCGTAAATAACACTGTGGTCTTAAAAGGAAAGAAGTATGTAATAGATGACGTTTCGAGCATTGGCCCTTCACCACAGCACGTAGAGGGAGAGGCCAGAGAGGGTAAAGAGACGACTGGAAGGTCACCACGGATGGGTTCTCGAACCCACTTGCCGTGCTGCCATCTACAAGCCACCGCGCAGCGCAAAAGAGATTGGGAGCTTCACAAATCTCTGCGTGGTCCGCCAACTCTTGCCTCCAAAGCGCTGGATTCTTGGCATGTGCCAGTGCATCTGAATCGACAACCCGAGTTCGAGACCGGGAACCCGTCCTGCCAGGCGCGCTTCAAAGCAATACCGGGTGATTTACGTTATCCGAGTTCTATTGGATTAGTTTTTGGTGCACTCTGCAACAAAATAACCGAACATGTTTCAGTTTTTTTTTTCATTTAGTTTCATTTATTTGGTATAGCCCTATGAGCCATTCGGCTCTTGAATCGGGTGCAACCGCAACAAATAAAAAACAAAAACATGAACAAGAAACATCTTCAAGTGACTATGTGACTATGCGCAAACAGAAAAATCCAGGAAAAAACTGCAAAGTCTTCCAGAAAAAAAGCACCGTAGACCAACGCTGTGCAAAAATCCGTTGAGCTATTGACAAAAAAATCTGATATATTATATTTGGATTCAGCCACTCCTTAAAGCCACCAGATACACAAAGTTCGTACAAAATGGGATAATTTTGCCAAGTGTCAAAGTATGAAAAAAATAAGAATAGTTTTAACCCTTTCTGGAAATAAGGAGCATGTTTTGTTTGCATGTTCACGATAAGAACCGTGTGTGGTTGATGCAGACTTCATCCTTGCAAAAGGTTTCTATTTGGTGTTTGAACATCTTAACACAATGTTGATTCGAAGCTTTCGTGACTGCAGGAATCCATACACTATGGGTCTTTTGGTAAAGTCACGTGAGTAGAAAAATAATCTTAACTCAACTCGTGTTTGATTGCCAGAAAGGGTAAAACCTATTCTTATTTTTTCAAAGTTCGTACACCAAGATGTAAAAAAAACACACGTAGACATCTTTTCCCCTACAAATTCCAAACAATTATTTTTGGAGCTCATTTCTCGTTATTTAAAAGCATAAACGGGATTATGTTAATTTCTGAACAGCATTCGAGTTTATCCATAATACAGATATGTCCACAACACAGGTTTATCTACAACACAGGTTTTATCCACAACACAGGTTTATCTACAACACAAGTTTTATCCACAACACAGGTTATACACAACAACACAGGTCTGCATCGGTCACTCCAAAGCCCGTGCGTCCGCCTATAAACGATTTAGCGCGGTGCCGGTGTTGAAAGGGTCTACGGCCTGGCGGTCAGAGCGCGAGACGCTGGCAACCCCGACGGGTCCGAGTTCGACACCTGCGACCGGTCCTGCCAGGCGCGCTCCAACCAACTCGCACGACGTGGCCTAGGCGGGCAAGGCCTCCACCACCTTAACTCCGGGTTCATCCACGTGGCCTGGGCATTGTCACTAGAAGGTCAGCCCGTCGTATGGAACGGGGAGGTGGGGGGTAGTGTGAGAGGGAGGGATGTGGGGGGTCTCGAAGTGGGCTGCCGAAGCACGCGGTGTGGATCGCGCTCGAGGTATGGCGCCTTTCGTCACCGCGCGCCGCGATGCTGGCGACTCCGTTATTAATAGGGGGCACTGATCACCCCCCACGGGGGGGCCTGATCACCCCACCCCCCCCCCACGGTAGCCTGCGAGAGGTGACGACGCCTGCATCTCTCGACCTCACGCAGCCTCAACCGCGGGGGAGCTTAAGTGGCGCGGCCTCCAGTTTCATTCCACCCCCAGGGGTCGTGTTTCCCCATAACCTAAATTTTGCTTAAACGAGGCCGACAACTGTGGCTGGTGGGGGGGTGGGTGGGCTGAGGAGTGGTGGGGGGGGGCTTAGCAGATGATGGGTTGGTGGGGGTGGAGAGGGGGGATACGCGTGGTCAGCGGAGCAAGATGAAACATAATTTTAGCTGCGCGAACGGAAAACAAGAATCGGCCTCCAAACGCCGAACTTTTGAGAGAAGTAAAGTTGGATTGGGCAGGAGGAGGAGGAGGCGTCGCTCGAGACGGTTGATGTCCGACGGTGGAGAGCAGTGGCGGAGTGGCAGTCAATGGATGGAACGCGTCCCGGAAGTGGATTTTTTTTCCCGACCGCGGAGATGGAGCGATGGAATCAGCACCTCGTGTGCAAGTGCTCGGCGGACTGATCACCTCGCTGGACCGCGAGAGACGTCGCCGCCTTGCGGACGAGGTCTGCATCCAGCAGTGGATCGATCACGGCTGCTCATGTTGATGACCGAATTGCCCTTGGACGCGCGCAAACTCCGTTGCATCTCGGGCGCTAAGCGGCGACGAGGCTGGTCAGCACTCGGATGGGTGACCACCACCACCACCACAAAGAACGTGGGCGCTGTCAGCTTTCGTACGAGTGTGTGCGGCGAGGTTTGACTCGCCGCTACTGCCGAGAATCTGTTTTTTTTTTATCGCGGGGGACTCGACAGCGGATTCGAGTCCAGCTTCTCGGCGGACTTCTGGCAGGTCCTCTCTTACTTAGGCCACGCCATATTTGAGCTTCTTTCGCACCGTACGTAAACAACCGCGCTAGTCGGAGATGCGGGGGAACGACAGCAAACTGAACACAAAAGAAAGCGTGTTCTAAAGGAATGAGTTGATCAGTCTAGACGACTTCAAAGTGGCGTAGCTCCCAGTGACTTGCTCAAATCGGAAGGGAAGAGCGTTCCAGACGGCCGCAGACGCGCGTCTGAAAGCGCCACGCGATGCGGTGACCGCCGTCTTTGTGTCGATGGCTCGCAGCCAAAGGCCGCTGCTGCGACGATGACGACCGGAGTGTGGTACAGACGCAATAACGAGAGTGCTGCGTGTCAAACACAGAGATGCTGCAATGATCCACGTTGTGCGAGTGATCGATGTGTGGCTGACCGATGTCAACGGGCGTGGTGAGAACGATGCTTTCCCGTGATGCAGCGCTTTTGGAGGCGAGGCGGTTGCTGGACCGTGTCGAGATTTACGGAGCCGTCAAACACGACGGACGTGTTGACGGGGAGAGGGGTGGGGGTGTTGGTGGGGGGGATGCGGTCGGAATGTGGCAGTAGAGAAAGTAGGTTCTTGAAACCCTTCTGCTATTTCGAGCGCGTGGTGGGGGCTACTCCTCATGGACAGGCGACAATGTGCAGGGAGACAAACTTCCACTGCTGCGGCCCCATGCGTGCGGGTGAGGATCACTGGGCGGTGACCTTGGGGTGAGGCAGAGGTCATCGGTTTCTAGCTGGGGGGGAGGGGTGGGGGTGGCATCGGTACGGACGTTTAAATATAGAAGCCGTCAGGCGCAACACGTGCCCGGAGCATTGATGAGCACCGTCGATCACTAACTGCCCCACGGCACTTTTACAAAGTGTACCCCAAGGCGGACGGGCAAACCACGCCCATCTCGGCACGCGCGCTTGCAAAGTGCACCCCAAAAGAGGCGGTTGTTGATAATGATGATGTTATAATAATATAATAAATTGCTTTTCCATGCAGAGACCTGTACGCGGGGGCGATACAGCACTTTACATCACGTCTAATTTGCAAACATTCGAATGGGCACCCACCCCTCGCAGTGGCAGCTGTCCCTGTGGGAGCAAGATACCAGCCCGGCCCGCAAACGGGATATGAGTCTGCCAGTAGGCTGCGACGTTGCTACATGCCATCCCAATCGAGTAATTTTTATAGGCCACACTGCAGTGTTCGCAATCAATAGTCTGTACGCATGTTGAACTTTTTTCACGCCGTACGTAGCCAAAGCACAACACAGACACACAGAGCACAATGCTGCTGCGGTCTGGCGGGCGTGCGGTCGTCTCGTCTATGACGCAGTGGTCAGGGCGTGGAGTGATAAAGAGTAAGTGTAGGAGTTGGAATAAGTCGGGCATTGGTGGCGAGGGTTGATGCATCACCGCACAAATGTTGTGCAACTCACTTTCTGCAAAACGGGGACTTCGCCTGTTCAATTCGCACGGGAATAGAGTGTTGTCCCCTCGCACGCGTGGAGTTTCTGCAGCTGCTTCAGTTACCTCCCACGGGTAAATACTTGTTAATTGGCTGATAGCGCCTTCATATACAGGGGACCGCAGAGCTTGGGAAATTGTTGGTAGCGCCGGCTCACCCGCCTGGCCGTGACTAAGAATACGGAGCCTCGGATTGCGTTGCGGTTGGAGGAACCGAGGGTTGGTGCGGGCTGATGGCGCACGAGGGGGTCAAAGGTCGCGTCACCCTCACTCGCCACGGGGCAGGGCGGCTCCCGTCAGGTCCCAGTCACAAGCCAGTGACTTCATCGTTATATTTAAGTGGCACTTGGGTTGACGTGTCTCCTGAAATTGTGCAGTGGGGCACGCCGGTTTCGTAGACGCGACTGCCACTCAGCCACTTGCCTACATTCCCACGGAGAAGATAGTGGTGGGTGTACACTGTACTCACAGACACACACCACACACATATATATACAGAGAAACGAGAGAAAGATCCCCCGTATAGCCTTAACAGACTGTATGGGCAAGTGCTGTTAGCGAGCACTTATGAAAGCCGGAACAGTACACGAGGGGGTGGGTGGCCAGCACCACACCCGGCCGCCTTTGTCTCCCTCGTGGCGATGTTTGCACACCGCACCAGGTGCTCATTAGAGGCTGAGTCGATCTAGGGGAGGCCCAGCACCGGTTCAGATAATCGTCACCGGTGTTGGCCGTGAGCGGGGAATCGAACTCGGGTCGCCAGGTTCGTAGCGTCACAGCAGCAACCACCATCACGAGCTAAGCCAGCATCAACGACTAACAGCAACAAAAGCCACCACCACCAGCAGCATTAACATGACAACAATCACCACCAAACCATCATCATCACCACAACCAACAACGACCGTTCACCACTAAGTGGCGGTGAGGTCAACACGGTGCTTGCGCCAGGCCAGGCGCGGTTCGAGGCCACGTGAAGTGTCGAAGGCTCGCTGCTGGCAGGAGGAGGTCACGTTACAGACCCAAAGTGCCCATGGGTTGATTGAGTGAGATGACTGGCAGATGCGCCAACTGTGCTCCCCGCCGTGCAAGCAACTATCACAACCACCACCAGCAAAACCACCACCACCACCACTATCATCATTAACACCACGACGACCACCACCAACCACCATCACCAGCACCAATCAAAAGTCTCCGCGTCTCCGCGTCTCCGCGCAGTGTCCGCCTTCAGCAAGAAGCCCACCTCGCTGGAGGTAGCCGCCGGCTCAGCGGCCGAGTTCGTGGCCGAGACGGCCAAGGTCGGAGCCAAGGTCAAGTGGCAGCGAGACGGCAAGGATGTGGCGGCCGGCGGTCGCGTGTCCGTGCAGGCCGAGGGCAGCCGCCACACGCTGAAGGTCGACGCGGCCGCCGCGGAGGACGCGGGCTCCTACGCCGTGGTGTGTGGCACCTCCAAGGTCAAGTTCGAGCTCAAAGTCAAGGCTGCTGCTGCGGCGGTGGAGGAGGGTGAGGGAGCGCGCCGTTCGTGGAGCGACGTGGCCGCGCTACGTTCTACCACCCTCACCGCCACATCCACCCAACCACCGTCCCCCACCGTCCCCCCCCACCACCCAGGGTCGGATTAAGATTTTGTAGGCCCCTGGGCTACAGGTACTGTGAGACCCCCCCCCCCCCAGGTAATATTTTAAAAAGGTAAACAAATTTCGATTCGAAGCTTTCGTGCCTGCAGGGATTTATCTTCTTGGTTCTTTCGGTAAAGTCACGTAGTTTACCGAAAGAACCAAGAAGAAGGTAAACAAAGTAAAATACATTTTTTATTTCATTTATACGATGCCAACAACAAATAAAATTCAGCATTCGCAAGCGAAATTACTTTTCACTTCAATCTCTGGAGGCCTTCCAGCTGGTGGAGGCCCCTGGGCTGCAGCCCCTAAAGCCCCCCGTGCCTCAATCCGGCCCTGCCGCCACCTTAACCCTCGCCGGCGTGGGAGGGGTCAAGGGTCGCGCACCGTCCGCCACTGGTCAAGCCGAGCGGCGGTGGCTGCTGGTCCCTGACGCTGCCACCCGCGTGTCTCGAGTCGTGCGTCGTCGAAGCCAGCGTGGCGCTCACCCCCCCTCCCCAGGGATTGTGTACTTACTTCATCTCGTGTGGCAAAGCACGTGAGCACGTGTGTGTGTGTGATAACTAACAGCACTCGCCCCAACAGCCTCTGAAAGGCTACACGGCGGATCTTTCTTTGTCTTGTGCGTGTCCGTCACCCTGGTGCAGTGTGTACACGGTCACCTCTTGGGGAGGCAAGGGCGGCCGTGCGTGGTGGTGGTGGTGGTGATGACCACCGCACCACTGCCTCGTGCACTATGCCAGCCTTATTAGGCGCTCGCTAACACCACTTGCCCCAGCAGCCTGTACGGGTGGCTACATGGGGAGATCTTTGTCTTTGCCCACCGCGAGGAGTGGTGGTGCAGTGTTCAGCTGCGCATTGCCCTCCGCCGCCCGAGTTCGATTCCCGGCCACGGCTAACATCAAGTGGGCGAGCGATATCTGAACCTGGACCTCTGCTACGTCGACGTAGCCTCAAATGAGGACCCCAGAACTGGGGAAGAGGGGTGTGCAGCCTGTGCGTGGTGATGGCCACATCCACTCCCTCTTGCGCCGTGCCCTCCTTATGATGTGCTTGCTTACAGCAGCACTTGACCCCAACGGTCTATGTAGGCTATACGGGGTATCTTTGTCTTTCGTATTTCCATCGCGTGTTCATTAACTCGTTACCTCCATTCATTTCGTGCGGTGCTTTAATTTTCATTTGTACAACATTCTAAGGACTGTCCTCTTTCCCACAATTGAATTCCCGTTTGTGCTATGGGCGCCATCTAACGATGTCTGCGGTTCCCATTTGGAATTCTCCCGCTAGGCAATGCTCGACTCAATGAGACTATCCTCATATCCTGGTCGTCATCTGGTTGGAGTGTCACGGTGGCGAAATGTTAACTACCTCGCCTGGTATACAGGTGGTCTAGGGGTTCAATCCCGACCCTGACGCCTGTATATTTTAAGTTTGCATGTTTTTGCCCCGTGGTCGCGTGGATTTTACTCCTGGTCCTCCGGTTTTTCCCTCCACATTTATGAATGTATTTGGCTGATAGACATCTCAACGTGATGAGCCACTTCGTTGAGCTATCATTTGTGGCAAGGTCGCTTCTGAAAAAGAGCTACCACAATGGGCCTTCCCTGATGAAATAAAAAAATGTTTTAAGCACATCAAACAAATCCACTTTACCGCCCCCTCCCCTCGATAGAGAACGCCCTGCGGAAGGAGTTTCGGCATTACAGAACTACTTCTGAAAATTTCTTCCAGCGACCGCGCTGCACGTGCCTGATGATTGCTAAACACGTATCACGTGACGCAGGGAACAAACACCGTAATGTTGTACTTTGTTTTCCGAAATTAACGAAGAGTGGTGATTGACGATGAAGGCCGGGACGCTGGCCACGTCAGATTTGCGAGCACGCTGCACGTAGCAATCCAGGCGGGGATCGCCAGTTCGATCTCCCCGGCGCGGCAGCCGAAACAAATGGGGCGCGTTTTTTTGTTCAATTCCCCACCGATCTCCGTCCACCCCAGCGGTATGAATGGGCGCCGCACCACAGTTAAGGCGATCTGCGGGGCAGCGTGTGGTGGGATTAAGCGTGGGGTAGGTGCTCCCACTTCTTCCGTAACCAATAGGTAATAATTTAAAAAAATCTTTTTTTAAAACACGCTTTCATGAAATGTACTAGTAATGGAAGAACTCCACGACTCCAGGAAGTGGCTCTGAAGCTTTCCATAACGTAAGGGACCGCGGCCAATTACAGCCAACGTCAGTTGAGCGTGGACAATTAGACCCAAGCCGAAACATAACATATAAAAAATAACGTTAAAATTTATTTTATTTTATTTTTAATGATAGAATATGGCATTGTCATCAGTATGACATAAGTATACCAAGTTTGCAGTCGATACCACATTGGGAAGTGGGTTAAAATTGAGTTACAAGATTTAAGGATACGACAACAACAACAACAGACAGAGTGAGTTCATGGAAAGCGTGTAGTCGTAGTAATAAAAATACCTCCTCCCGACGTCCTCGCTCTCTCGTGCTCCGCGTAGTGGAGGCCGTTGCACCAGCAGTGGTGTAAGCAGGCAATTGCAGGGCTGCGCCTTTAACCTAACGATTAATTGTCAAGGTCATTTGACGATTGATGTTGACATGAATCTGGGATTGTTGAATGTGTTGTTCAGCAGATACTCCGGTAGCTGCCCCTGCAGCCATGGACGCGTCGCCTGCACCAGGTACACGAACAAAGCAAATCGGCTTCATTAATTATAATTATAATATATGTTTTATTATTTTTCGTAATTTTATTTTACATCGCGTCATTCAAGCGAATTGCATCCCGCGATACGGTGCACTAATTGCGTATAAGGGCCACATCCTATTATTGTATAGCAATTATCGAGCAAGTGAAAACGCCGAGAAAATAAAAATGAGCAAATGAATGGTAAAGAAATGGCACCAAAACAAAATAATCAAAAACAACATTAATTAACAGAAGTTATCACAACAGATAAATTAGTCCATTAAGTTTTCGCATTCCCAGACCACAATATCATCTTCTTACACAAGCGAGGAGGCGTTGAACCGTCGATTTTAATCGTGACGGCGACGTTGTTGGAACGATGGTGAAGGCGTCGTTAAACCGATGGTGAAGTCTACTGTGAGTCTACTGTGAGCAATCGAAATTCACAATAAAAAATTACAATCGAAATTCACAATCAAAATTTACAATCAAAATTTACAATTGAAATTCACAATCAAATTTCACAATCAAAATTCAAAATCCACAATAAAAATTCACAAACAAAACTCACGATAGAAATTCACAATAAAAAAATTCACAATCAAAATTCGCAATCAAATTCACAATCAAAATTCCTGCGTCACAATCACAATCTTTATTTAGGCTGGAAGAATCCGATGAGCAATGAAGCTCTTTTTCTTCTCGCAGATTGTCCAGTGAGACGACAAATCGGATTCGGCGCTTCCTTGATTTATTTTCAAACCTTCCGTATCCACCTCATTCCGTGACCTTTCCGTGAAATATAGTTTATTTATCTCCCCCAGAAAATCACCTTAACGAAATTACCTTACCAGAATTGTCCCCTTCATGTGAATATGCTCTTAAACTCACGATGCATACATCGAATCATTAATTTGAGCATCCCTTGGTATACGGAACAGGTAAGTTCTTAAAAACCGTATCCGTAACGTAAAATGTCGTATATCGAACCGCATTCTTCCATTCACTTCCAAGATATAATTGGAGATGCGTTCATACGAGATAAATGTACACCGAGACGTACTAAAAAGAACACCTAAGAATGATATATTTTTTATAGCACATATTTAACGGCAAATCTATGATGCTACGATAAACGCGATGCAGACTACTTGAGTGGACTGGCGTGCCCGCTTCGCGTTGTTTTGATGCAAGGTGACTTCTCTCTCATCCCCCCCCCCCCAGCGGAGGCGAACGGAGCTCCAGATCAGAGCGCAACTGCGGCGGCCAATGCTAACGGTGACGACTCGTGTGTGGATGCAAGCGGTGGTGGCCAAGGCTATGGCCAGGGTTATGATAAGGGTTATAGCTATGGTTATGGCTATAGTTAGGGTTATGGCTAGGGTTAGGGTTATGATTAGGGTTATGGTTAGAGTTATGATTAGGGTTATGATTAGGGTTATGGTTAGGTTTATGGTGAGTGTTGTGGTTAGGGTTATGGTTATAATTGGGGTTCTGGCTATGGTTATGGTTAGAGTTATGATTAGCGTTATGGTGACGTTTATGGTTAGGTTTATGGTGAGTGTTATGGTTAGGGTTATGGCTATGGTTAGGGTTATGGCTAGGGTTATGGTTAGGGTTATGGTTAGGGTTATGGTGAGGTTTATGGTTAGGTTTATGGTGAGTGTTGTGGTTAGGGTTATGGTTATAATTGGGGCTCTGGCTAGGGTTATGGTTAGAGTTATGATTCGGGTTATGGTGAGGTTTATGGTTAGGAAGGAGGTTGTGGTTGTGTTCGTGGCGGAAGTGATGTATGTAGTGGTGGTTGGAGAAGGAAGTGGACGTGATGTATGTAGTGGTGGTAGAGGCAGTGGTAATGGCAGAGGCATCATCGGTGGTTGTGGTGGATAGTGGTGGTGGTGGTGGTAATGAAGATGGAGGAATAGTTGGGTGGTGGAAGTTGTGATTTATGGTGGTAGCGGTAGTGGTGGTGGAAGTGGAGGTCGTGGTGGTGGCACTGGAGGTAGCGTTGGTGAAGTTGATGATGATGATGATGACGACGAGGAAGAGATCCTGTGATGTGAATATTTCTACTCGATGTCAACACAAAGTTGCTCAAACTCCAGTTCTCGCGACCCACTACGATAGCCCGACGCCTTTCTCTGGTTACCCACGTGCTCTGCTCAAATACAAAGCACGCGTTCACACTCTGCACAAGCCCGATGATTGGTAAACACATCGCATATAACGTGAACAATGCTGCTTCAAATTGAGATATCGATCTCGCGTGTGTCTCTTGTCACGTGCAGAGTGCAGATTTCAATTGATGTGCAAAAACACAATGCAATCATCCGGCTTCAAAGAATCGCTCTCTGTCACGTGGGACAGGTTTTCCAATCATCAGGCACGTGCAGCGGGTAACAACGTGCAATATGATTAAGCGCAGAATGCAATTTGAAAACCCTGCCGCGAGGAGCCTGTCTTAGTATAAAGACAAAGATCCCCCGTGTAGCCTTAAGAGACTGTTGGGGCAAGTGCTGTTAGCGAGCACCTATGAAGGCCAGAACGGCACACGAGGGGGTGGGTGGCCAGCACCACGCCCGGCCGCCTTTGTTTCCCGAGTGAGGATGTTTACACACCGCACCAGGCACTCATTTGAAGCTGAGTCGACCTAAGGGAGGCGCATAACCGGTTCAGACAATAATCGTCACTGGTGCTGGCCATGAGCGGGAATGTAACTCGGGTCGCCGGGTTCGTAACGCAGCGTAGCGCTAACCGCTGCTCCACCGCTCCTCGCCCGTATTACCATGGGGTGCCACTTGCACGCGCGTTCTGGTGACCCATTTCTTGGCCGCTGAGCTGTCCGGAGGCTTTTTGCCGACTTCGTTTTGACCGATTTCCCCCCCGAACCCGCGCCACAGGTGCCCCAGCGAGCGACGGAGACGCGCCCGCGCCGGAATTAAATCCTGAAGACATGCTCACAGGAGAAGGTGCGTGTGGTGGCACACACATACACAGGCGTGATGGCGATGGAGAGGATGATGATGATTATTGAAAAATGTACTGAAGACTTGCTCACGAGAGAAAGTATTTGTGTTGGCACACACACAGCCATGATGGTGATGGAGAGGATGATGATGATGATGATTCCCTTCATGATACTAATGATGATTATTGAAATAATTACTAAAGATTTGCTCACAAGAGAAAGTGTGTGTGATGACACACACACAGCCATAATGGCGATGGAGTGGATGATGATTTCCTTCATGATACTAATGATGATGATTATTGAAATAATTACTAAAGACTTGCTCACAAGAGAAGGTGCGTGTGATGACACACACACACAGCCATGATGGCGATGGAGTGGATGATGATGATACCCTTTATGATACTAATGATTATTGAAAAATGTACTAAAGACTTGCTCACGAGAGAAAATGCTTGTGGTGGCACACACACAGCCATGATGGTGATGGAGAGGATGATGATGATGATGATACCCTTTATGATGCTGATGATGAAAATGATATTCTTGGGTCTTTCGGTAAATCTTAATTATGGAGCTTTCGTGACTGCAGGAATTATTCTTTGGTTCTTTCGGTTAAGTCACGTCTAAAGATAAAATAATAATAAATTTATTATTTTATCTTTAGACGTGACTTAACCGAAAGAACCAAAGAATCTTTCGGTAAAGTCACGTAGATACGTTCAAAGACGAACGCTTGCGTTGCGATCGAAACGTCGTAGTTTTCTGTTATTTATTTATTTCAACCTATTTACGCCACGTCGAAAATAAAATCAATGTATGATTAGATTTTTCTACGTGACTTTACCGAAAGAACCAAAGAGTAATTCCTGCAGTCACGAAAGCTTTAAGTCAAGATGATAATGATTATTGAAAAATGTACTGATGATTGTGATGGTAGAGCTGTGAATGATGATGATGATAACAATGTGCCGGTGATGAAAACTGATGAGGATTATGATATGGTTATTGTAATGATTATGATGGTAGCGGTTAATTATGATGCTGGTATCCCTGAATGATGGCGGCGATGATTATTTAAGTGACAATTCATATAGTTCATCAGTCTAATATTTTCAATGAATATTACCATGAATACTGCGTTAAGCTCATGGTGGCCATAGTATCAATAACTACCATGATGATGAGTGTTAAAGCGATTCATATTATACGGCCATTATGATGACATCCCAACTGCACATCATTGAGTGCTTAGTCCGTTCCGTGTCACCGACACATGGGGCAATACGTTGCAAGTGATTTGTGTGTTGCTTCAAACACGAGGAGCAACCCAATGCCTCCTCCACCCGATAGGGTCTCGTGCCATCACCGCTATTCCAACGCAACGTCTGTAGATTGTTTTTCAAGTTTGAAGTTTCATTTATTAGGTATAGTCCTGTGAGCCATTAGGCTTTTGAATCGGGTGCAACCGCAACAAACAAAAACACGAACAAAAAACATCTTAAAGTTAATATGTGACTGAGTGCCAACAGAAAATCCAAGAGATGACGCAGCCTGCGGTTAATATATCATGTGTATGTGTTGTGGATCGCTAGCGCCGTGTATATGACCAGCCTTTACCAAGTGACATGAACGCTGTATCACCTGGAGTGACCGGGCATTCGTACGATGGCGATGTGTTTATTATTATTATTGTTGTTATCATGTCGTACAGCGCTGGTTATGGCGCGCAAACTCTCTCTGGCGAGATGCAACACTCCAGGTGTGTCTCTCTCTCATGTGTGTCTCTCTCTCCGCGTGTCTCTCTCACCGTGTGTGTCTCTCTCACCGTGTGTGTCTCTCTCTCCGTGTGTGTCTCTCTCCGTGTGTGTCTCTCTCCGCGTGGCTCTCTCTCCCAGTGTGTCTCTCTCTCCGTGTGTCTCTCTCCGTGTGTCTCTCTCTCTCTCTCCGTGTGGCTCTCCGCTTGCTTCACTCTCTCTCTCTGCCCTTCCCGCCGCTTCGCTCTCTCCAAAGAGAGACCCGGGTCGGTCCATCCCTGACAACTTCCAACGCTGCTTCTCTTCTCCGCCACTCATTGCACAGCTCCCCCACGCTCCTTCACCCTGCCACGCTAACAGCCGCCGGCTTGCCCTTTAACACTCCACGCTGCGGTTGAAGTGCCCTTTGCTACACGGGGAGTTTCCGCCGTTAAATTTGCACTTTCAGAGCAGCAGCGATCCGAGCGGGATTTCTCGGGATCTTTTTCCCAACATTCTCTTTTCTCGGATAGCGCTATCGGCATTGTGTCGCGAGATGAAGGATCAGTTTGGAGCGCTCGCCGTGTTAGAGAGTGGCCCACTGAAGGAGATATCATAGAATTACTTCTGAGATATCTCCGAGTGAGCTCTGTTATCCAGACACCGAATGGCCACGTGATGATGCTGATGGATCCTTTTACAGCGAATGGAATGCTGGCCACAGGCTTTGGCACAAGTGCTGCATAGACACGGATGGAAACTCAATTAAAATCAGCCAAGTGTTCATAACATTCCCATGAATTAATTTGATAAAAATCAGTGTAAGGAGTAGTGGGTGGGGCTTTATAAGTAGTGGGCGGGGCTATTCGAGTAGTGGGCGGAGCGACCTCAGTAGTGAACGGGGCTACCTGAGCGATAGGCGGAGCTACACGAGTAGTGGGCGGTGGCTACACGAATAGTAGGCGGGCTACACGAGGAGTAGGCGGGGCTACACAAATAGTAGGCGGGGCTACCTCACAAGTGGGCGGGGTTACATGAGTAGTGGGCGGTGGCTACCTGAGTAGTGGGCGGAGCAAGTGATGTCGTGAGTGTGGCTATTATAAAATTGAGCGGCGGGGGGGTCTGCAAGCTACTGCCGCGGTGTGTCCGATGGAGCCCCCCAATCCCCCGTGAAGTCACCACGCTTGGCTCCGTGCTGTGTGCAGAGGTGGCGGAAGGGGAGCGGCGCCAGGAGCTGACCGGCCTCTTCCTGGAGAAGCCCGTGTCCACGGTGATCAACATGGGTAGGTGACCTGACGATGACCCCTATCCGATCACCTTCACCTGATTAACATGGCTATGTGACCTGACGATGACCCCTATAGGATCGCCTGATTAACATGGCAACGTGACCTCACGATGACCCCTATGGGATCACCTTCACCTGATTAACATGGCTACGTGACCTCACGATGACCCCTATAGGATCACCTTCACCTGATTAACATGGCTATGTGACCTGACGATGACCCCTATAGGATCGCCTGATTAACATGGCAACGTGACCTCACGATTACCCCTATGGGATCACCTTCACCTGATTAACATGGCTACGTGACCTCACGATGACCCCTATAGGATCACCTTCACCTGATTAACATGGCTACGTGACCTGACGATGACCCCTATAGGATCACTTGATTAACATGGCAACGTGACCTCACGATGACCCCTATAGGATCACCTTCACCTGATTCACATGGCTACGTGACCTCAGGATGACCCCTATCCGATCACCTTCACCTGATCAACATGGCTACGTGATCTCACGATGACCCCTATGGGATCACCTTCACCTGATTAACATGGCTACGTGACCCGCGTCATCGTCGCCTGTCCGTATCGGATCATCTTCACGGGTCGATCGAGGGCACCGTCTGCTTTCAATTGTCCGGATCAGGGGGGTCAGCAAACCCGCGGCTCCTGAGTCGCGTGTGGCTCTTTAAAGGACTTGCTGCTTCGTGACCGTGATTTATCAAGGACCACCACCGTCTCGTATTCACCACCAGAGTACATTGCGGCGCTTGAAATATGAAGTTTTTTTGACCGAATTCGAAACAAATGGCTCTTCTTCTTGGTTCTTTCGGTAAAATCACGTAGAAGGGAAATAATAAAATAATAAAAATAAAACATAATAAAATACAATTCTCAGAATTGTACTTTATTATGTTCTCAGAATTGTATTTTATTATGTTTTATTTTTATTATTTCCCTTCTACGCGACTTTACCGAAAGAACCAAGAAGATGAATCCCTGCAGTCACAAAAGCTTTAAATCGAAAAATGGCTCTTCCTGTTCCTTTGTTTTGCCGAACTCTGGCCAGGATGAATGATATTTTTTATGAAGCTATTATTACTCGTGTTTACCCAGGCATCTGCATCTAAAGACTACAGTGGGTGGAATGTTTCAACGTGTCATTCCAACTGAGTAATTTGCCGAGTATTTTTTTTCACGACTGCATTGGAATAGTTTTGCCAACAACAACAACCGCCATTCGCCACTAAGTGGCGGTGACGTAACCACGGCGCTTGTGCCAGGCTTGGTGCACGTTGAGGCCACGTGAAGTGTCGAATTCCCGCTGAGCAGGTGCCACGGGTCGACTGACTACCAACAGCAGTCAAAAGACAAAGACAAAAATCCCCTGTGTAGCCTTAACAGACTGGAGGGGCAAGTGCCGTTTGCGAGCACCTATAAAGGCCGGCACGGCACACGAGGGGGTGAGTGGCCAACACCACGCCCGGCCGCCTTTGTCTCTCCAATGGCGATGTTTACACATCGCACCGGGTACTCATTTGAGGCCGAGTCGACCTAGGGGAGGCCCCAGGACCTTGTGCAGAAAATCGTCACCGGTATTGGCCGTGAGCGGGAATCAAACCCTGGTCGCCAGATTCGAAGCGCAGCTTAGCGCGAGCTGCTACACTACCGCGCGCGCGCGTTGACCCGGACCCACGTGACCCCACGACCCCTGCCCCCCCCCCCCCGCGCAGGAGGAGACGCGATGTTTGTGGCCAAGGTGCACGCCGAGAGCCTCTCCAAGAAGCCGTCGGTCAAGTGGTTCAAGGGCAAGTGGATGGACCTTGCCAGCAAAGCCGGCAAGCACCTGCAGTTCAAGGAGATGTATGACCGCAACACCAAGGTGGGGGGTCCGCGTGGCTGCGCTTATCGTTTTTTTTTTAAAGCAATGCGATTACGATTTGCTTTCTATCTTTTTTTTCATTTCGCTTGGCTGTTATTGTTTATCATTGATTAAGTTTTTTGCCGTGATTTGCTGCTTGCGTCGGAGAAGCGGCGGTGTTGTTGTTTTGTTGTTGGTGATGAAACCCGAATTGGCTAACATTGGTGATTCAAAGCAACCGGACTAACTAACACCGGCGGGTGGGCGGTGCTGGGTGCCCGTGGGGTCGCCAATCTATTTGGCGCGTCGGGGTCACCGGTCGGGGGGACAGGGTACGCGGTCGGCAAGCGCGGCCATCGGGGTTAGGGTTATTGTTGTGGTTGGCTCGTCAGGTTAAGGTTAGGGGTTGGGTTCGTTTTCTGGTGGGCTGGTGATGTTTTAGGGTCAGGCTTGGGTTCTGGTTCCGGTTGGTTAGCTAGAGAGGTTGCGGTTAGAGTCCGGTTGGCGATTTGTAAATGTTTCATCCACCAATGCAGGGATGGCAATGCCACTCTGTTCACTCACCACCAACACAGAAATGGCAATGCCACTCTGTTCACTCACCACCAACACAGAAATGTCAATGCCACTCTGTTCACTCACCACCAACACAAGGATGGCAATGCCACTCTGTTCACTCACCACCAACGCAGAAGTGGCAATGCCACTCTGTTCACTCACCACCAGTGCAGAAATGGCAATGCCACTCTGTTCACTCACCACCAACACAGAAATGGCAATGCCACTCTGTTCACTCACCACCAACACAAATGGCAATGCCACTCTGTTCACTCACCACCAACGCAGAAGTGGCAATGCCACTCTGTTCACTCACCACCAGCGCAGGGATGGCAATGCCACTCTGTTCGCTCACCACCAACGCAGAAGTGGCAATGCCACTCTGTTCACTCACCACCAGTGCAGAAATGGCAATGCCACTCTGTTCACTCACCACCAACGCAGAAATGGCAATGCCACTCTGTTCACTCACCACCAACACAGGGATGGCAATGCCACTCTGTTCACTCACCACCAGCGCAGGGATGGCAATGCCACTCTGTTCACTCACCACCAACGCAGAAGTGGCAATGCCACTCTGTTCACTCACCACCAATGCAGGTATGGCAATGCCACTCTGTTCACTCACCACCAATGCAGGGATGGCAATGCCACTCTGTTCACTCACCACCAACGCAGAAATGGCAATGCCACTGTTCACTCACCACCAATGCAAGGATGGCAATGCCACTCTGTTCACTCACCACCAACACAGGGATGGCAATGCCACTCTGTTCACTCACCACCAATGCAAGGATGGCAATGCCACTCTGTTCACTCACCACCAATGCAGGGATGGCAATGCCACTCTGTTCACTCACCACCAATGCAGAAATGGCAATGCCACTCTGTTCACTCACCACCAATGCAGGGATGGCAATGCCACTCTGTTCACTCACCACCAATGCAGGTATGGCAATGCCACTCTGTTCACTCACCACCAGCGCAGAAATGGCAATGCCACTGTTCACTCACCACCAATGCAGGGATGGCAATGCCACTCTGTTCACTCACCACCAACGCAGAAATGGCAATGCCACTGTTCACTCACCACCAATGCAAGGATGGCAATGCCCCTCTGTTCACTCACCACCAACACAAGGATGGCAATGCCACTCTGTTCACTCACCACCAATGCAAGGATGGCAATGCCACTCTGTTCACTCACCACCAATGCAGGGATGGCAATGCCACTCTGTTCACTCACCACCAATGCAGAAATGGCAATGCCACTCTGTTCACTCACCACCAATGCAGGGATGGCAATGCCACTCTGTTCACTCACCACCAATGCAAGGATGGCAATGCCACTGTTCACTCACCACCAATGCAGGGATGGCAATGCCAGTCTGTTCACTCACCACCAACACAGGGATGGCAATGCCACCCGGTTCGCCCACCACCAACACAGGGATGGCAATGCCACCCGGTTCGCCCACCACACGTCAATGCCGCCCTCTCCACCGTCCCCCGCACACGCTCCTGCAGGACTTCACGTTTGAGATGAAGGTGATCGCCGCAAAGGAGAACTTCAGCGGCTCCTACCGATGCGAGGTGTCGATGAAGGATAAGATCGACAGCTGCCCCTTTGACATCACGGTCGAGGGTACGTAGAGACGCACCGCTGTGTGTGGGGGGGGGGGGGGGGGTCCGCAATGGCCATGTCAGAGGCACCGCTGATATCCCATCTTCCCTGATTTCAGTCGCCCAACCTAAAATCAAACTTGGTTCTCAAGTACGGTGAGGTGATTCTGGTCTAAGCACGGTCACCAATCACCACATAGAGGATAAATCATCACGTTACATTTATATTTGTACTCCTCTTGAATATATTACGGCTATGAAAATAAAATGTTTGGATTGATTGCCATTAGACAAAGGTTTCTTATAGCAGGGAATGCATGAAAGTCGTGTAGATAATGGGGCTTTTATTGTAGTGGCTTCAGAAGTAGTTCTGTGAAGCCATCTTCCTCGGCCGTTCTCTCACACAAGGTGGAGGACCGCTGTCTGCGAGAGTTCTGAGTGGGGAAAAAAAAATCTGCTGTAATTGAATGAACGAATGCACGCGCCTCATCGCATGCGGGTGGCATGTGGTTAAAATCTTACGCGGCTTTCTCAGAGATGGCTTTTGCCTACAGCACTGGGCAATTCGACGAATATTTTTTTTTTTATGGGCCAGACCCTGCCAATTAGATTTAAATAAGGCAAAACCGGTGCGAGAGTTTGCCTGCTTCAACAAATACTTCTACCAAAGATTGGTCCTGAAATGTTCATTTATTGCAATCCGACATATTTGGCAAACCTCACAGTCAAATGAACAATTCACTAAAAAAAAAACCACACGTGGCATGTCCTTTTCAAGGCAGTGGCATCTACGGATTTAGAATCACGTGGCTTATTTGTGGAATGAGTCGATGGTCTGGTGCATTCACCACCGCCACCACCATCCCACCAGCGTGGATGTACAAGCCCGGTGGTGGTTGGGACTACGCCCGACACCTACAGGTATTTAATGAAGCTCAACATCGCATAGTTTGAAACCACGGCGGTTTCAGAGTCGCTTTTTTTCCTTCTCCAGCTTGCACGTGATTGCTGCCTAAATTTTTGCAACATCATCTTTGTTGATTGATTTTAGAAATTTCGTTTTTTTTACGTAATTTTTTTTTTGCCATTGCAAATATTGAATTCGTCGCGAAGAATTTTTTTTTTACCGCTCAGCTCTTTGGGCATGTTTTTGTTTTGTCTTTTTTCTTGTCTACAGTAAAACCTCTCGAAGCCGGAATAAATAAACAAATAAATGTAAACATAGGAGGCGTAGTTCTTTGCGGTTATGGTGGACGTCCAGCATATCTCGAAACTAGAATCATAATTTAAATGACGTTTAATCACACCTTACAGTTTTTTACATAACGCTTAAAGACAAGCCACAGTGCGATTGTGGTCATGCATCCCGAACAATGGACCGTGCACTCAGCCCACAGAGACCCGTAGAGATTCATGGAGACTGATGGAGATGCATTATAGAAGAGCCACATTGGAATTGTCGCCATGCAAGCCACACAATGGACCATTCCGTAAACCAATGTCGTCCGCACTCCTTCACCGGAGGCGGAGGAGACCACAACCACGCGAACTCTCTCTCTCGCTCTGCTGCAGCCCTCTCGTTGTGGCCAGCAGACGTCGATGTTGTCATTTAGCTCCTGAACTTACCGCCATCGTGCTCATGAACAGTATATAACTTTCGATTTAAAGCTTTCGTGACTGCAGGGATTCATCTTCTTGGTTCTTTCGGTAAAGTCACGTAGAAGGGAAATAATAAAATAATAAAATAATAAAAATAAAACATAATAAAATTATTCTCACGACGTTTCGGCCACAATACAAGTAGGACGGGCTACTTGCGTTGTGGCCAAAACGTCGTGAGAATAATTTTATTATGTTTTATTTTTATTATTTTATTACTTCCCTTCTACATGACTTTACCGAAATAACCAAGAAGAAGAATATAACTTAACGACTTTGTGCGTTTAAAAAAATATAATGTAATAACCACTTTGAACAGGAACAACTGTCCTGCTGTTTCATCTGAATGGCTATTGCCGCGAGAAAGAGGCGGATTGGCTTTGCTTCGCTGGATGTGGATGGCTAGATGAGATGTTCGGATGGCTAAGAAGACGGTCGGAATGGCAGCCAATAAATGGAACGAATCATCCGCCGGGACGGAGTGGTGAGAGCGGAGGTGCAGGGTGGTGGATGACAACACCGCGGCATCTCAAGAAGGTGCCCGTGGTTTGTTGGAGGCCTGCATCCAGCAGTGGATTGATCATGGATGATGATGATGATGATGACGAATTTTATATATTTTTTTGCTAAATATATTTGAGATGAATGTGAAAACAATGAACGAGAGAGAGACCACGAGTGTGGCACATCGATGACCGGAGCGTCCAAGAGCACGCGTGCAAACACATACAATTAAATATTAAACAATCCAATAATAGGGCACTTTTAAATCCATTAAACATACCAAAACTATTCCAATGTCTCAACCATAAATACAGAATGATGAAACTTACATATTTTGCCATCCCTTTACGGCAGAAGTTCACCTTAAGGGGCACATCGATCACTTACTTCCTAGCGTTGTCAAGCGGCGAATCTGGAATTTCCTGCACGCGATGAGCGTTGAGATGTACGGTCGACCGATGACTGCAGAATGCCGAGCCCTGCCACCCGCATCTCCATGAACGCCGACGCTGCCGGGATTCCCGTCTTAGTAGTGTCTTGCTTTTGTTAATTTTCCTTATTTATCATCGGACTTACTCCGAATTGTCCCTTCCTTGACTCTGCCGGCTTCAAGAGGTTTTGCCGTTTTTTTCTTTTTCTAAATTTAAGCAAGTTCTCAAGAGAACGGACTTTTAACGGATGATGCTTTTTTGTTCCCCTGGATTGTAAATCTGGTGTGGGCATCTCCCTGCCTATCGGCTGCGACGCTTCAAATCTCGATCCGGTACAGTGACTGGTGCCTCTGTCTTTCTGTCTGAGTCTATGTCTCGTTTTTTTCATGTCTAATGCCAACTTTGCTCTCGTTTTTCATACCGTGAGCACATACACACACACGACGCAGAGATCCCTCGTGTAGCCTTAAACAAACTGAAGGTGCAAACGCTGTCAGCGAGCACTTATGCAGGCCGGCAACACACCCAGCCGCCTTTGTCTCCCTGGTGGTAATGTTTACACATCGCACCAGGTATTTATTTGAGGCTGAGTCGGCCTAGGGGAGGCGCAGGACCTACATACAGGCTGACACACATATTCGTGCGTCGTCACATACGCGCACACTCCCCTACAGGGCTGAATTTCTCTACGCACATTTGCCGAGGCACTGCCTACCAACTGGAGCAGGCGCGTGGCGATCATTTGCCGCAGCCATGAGCGACAGGTCCACACGATGTGGTGTGCCGGGTACAGACCTTGGCTGACATGAAGCCCCTCGGCTCACAGCGACTCTGTGAGGTTGATCCCCCATCATCTCACCGCTCGCTAATCTCGTTCCGTTCCAACACGCTCCTGCACGCTTCTCGCTCGCTGTGCAGATTTTGATGTTCCCCATCTCACTATGTTGTTCATCTGCACATTTTAGGCGTTATCGTTTTTTTTCTTTCTTTTATCTCGCGCGGTTCATTTTTGTGATGGGTCTCATTTTGGACCGTATTCTTTTTTAAAATGACATCTCCTCGGCATGGTTTTATTTATTTGCTATAAATTATTATCTATTGGAAACGCTCAACTAAATGTCCACGATCCGATGTTTTTATTGATTTCAGTGCATATATAATGGGCGAGACGAGCCTACCTTAGTTCATTTTGTTGCGTGATTAAAATGACTTTTACAATGTGTGCTTTCAATTAAGTAAAAATCGGGCACACCGCCTCTAAATACTCAAGTTAATAGTGCTCTCACGTGAATACAGACGAGCGTGCAAACACAACCACTCCACCCCCGCCCGACACGGCGTTGATCGGAGGCCTTCATCCAGCAGTGGATCGAGAAGAGGCTGTCAAGTGAAAGTGATACTTGGCGCTCCGTCACAGAAGCCACTCTCGTAGACGAGGCTTTGGGGGGCCGTGGGAGGTCCCTGGGGTTATTGTTAGCGAGCGACGTCACTCGTTATTCACTCATTTAAGTAAAACTGTTTAGAACCATTGATTATTTTGGGTGACTTAAAACAACGGCAATTCCACCACCCCTAGAAAATACGCATCCTCGCTCCAAAAAAAAAAGCCAGGGTAAATATTTACGCTTGCCATTTTAACAAACAGACTAACTAAAAAGTAAATAATGAATTGATTTAGAACGCGAAGGTGGGGATGTGCGTACAGCCGTGTGTGCGTTTGTATGGGCAGTGGGAAGAAAGTTATTTCATGACCGCTTCACCTGGGCAGCAACTCTAGAAAGTTGTGTTTAGTTGTATAATTTGTAGCATATATGGGACAGCCCGAAAACACGTGGCCCCCTTTCGGTGTGTGGCTCCAAGATCAGAGCTGCCCCGTCTTTTTTGTCCACGTGTTTCAAGCGAGGCTGATTATGCTCACGTTATGTGGCTTTGTTGAATCGATAAGCAACAAAGCGAGCCTCTTGGCTACACATATCCAGACACGGAGTGAATAAGGTGACACTCCGTGCGTGAGTGCGCGTAACGCACGTAACGAGATGTAATCTCAGATGAATCTGTAACCTGACAATGTAGTCCCGAACTTCGGGCGTCTGAAGTGACGACCTCTCTGTGCGTCCGTGTGTCCATCCGTACGTCCGTGTGTCTGTGTGTCGCTGCGTGTGTCTGTGTGTCTGTGCGTCGCTGCGTGTGTCTGTGCGTCGATGCGTGTGTCTGTGCGTCGCTACGTGTGTCTGTGTGTCGCTGCGTGTGTCTGTGTGTCGCTGCGTGTGTCGTGTGTCTGTGTGTCCGTGTGTCACTGCGTGTCTCTGTGTGTCTGTGTGTCGATGCGTGTGTCGCTGCGTCTACAGAAGCGCGGGACAGCGCACAGGTGCTCGACATCCGCCAGGCGTTCCGCCGATCGTGAGTGCCGTCCCCGCCGACTCGGGCGGTCGCGATACGACATCATCACGTTTCACGATACGACATCACGTTTCACGATACGACATCACGTTTCACGATACGGCATCACGTTTCACGATACGACATCACGTTTCACGATACGATATGATATAACCCAATACGGTATTATTATGATGATACGATATTACTTTTAATTGAATGCTATTCAGCAAAACGGCCGATACGATGATATCATATAATAACGAATGATAGTTAACATTTGTATTTATTTGAGCACACCTCAATCAATGGCTGGATGAAGGCCTCCCCATGGCGTGTCGGTCATGGAGGTTGTTTGACCATACTTCACCATGCTCGTCAGTGCGGGTTGGTTCAAGTGTGGGGGCGCGGGGGGCCGATGGGGGGGGGCGGTGAGGGGTGGGGGGTGACCCCAGACCCCAGACCAGTACAGATTTGGCCGTAATCGACTCCAGTTTTTCAGTTTTCAGTTTCATTTATTAGGCATAGCCCTGTGAGCCATGCGGCTCTTGAATCGGGTGCAACCGCAACAAACAAAAACATGAACAAGAAACATCTTGAAGTGACTTCGTGCAAACAGAAAAATCCAGGAAAAAATAGCAAAGTCTTCCAGAAAAAGCACCGTGCATCAACCCTGTGTGCAAAAATCCCAGTGGGATGCAAGTCAAACAATAACAACCATAAGACAATTTAGATTAAAGTTACCAGTCTAACTCTGTACTACAACAAACAAACATGGCTAAACCGAAACGTTTTCTCAATCACCAAAATAAAGCTATAAAAACAATGTAACAGTGATCATAGGAACTGTGATTCAAATGTAACAATAAACGATATACATAACATGTACGACCAAACTTTGCAGCTATAGCTGGCAGCATTTAGTCACTCCATAACAGCAGGAGTATCAGTAGGAGTATCAAAGTATCCAGGCCACTGCGCCACCTCCGACGTGAATTGCTTCATTGTAGACACCCGCAATGGCAGCGTCCCTCTGCCCAAGCTGGGCTTTTGAACGGCGATCATCCCCATCCCCTCCCTTCTCCACCCCGAGACCAGCGGCGTGAGTCCCACACCGCCGCCGCACGGCAGCTCGGCTCCGTGTCGCACGCCTGCGATGCCAGCGCTCTTTCGAGGCGAGGGTTGGTGGATTGCGTTAGAGAGATTGTTTTATTGTTGTTGTGTAGAATGCGCACGCGAGGCCGGGTCTGCAATGGGAGCCCGGGCGAGTGGGATCGTGAATCCCATTGTTGTGTTTGACACGGAGCAGGCTTTCGAGACCAATATCATCCACAATAGAGGGGGAGTTGTTTGGGTTAGTTTGAGTAAATATATAAATGTGTCGTTAAAACCCGCCACCACCCGACACAGCCAGCGAGTACGCGTGACGAATTGGCCACGTTCTGTTTACGTGACAACCCTTACTCGTTGGCTGTGTCGGGTGGTGGCAGGTTTTAACGACACATTTATATATTTACGCGATCTAACCCCCCCTCCCCAATTGTTGTGGTAGGTGTCCTCCACCACACCATAGCGAACCACTACGCTCGCAAACTCTGAAGGTTCAATTTCGATTTAAAGCTTTCGTGACTGCAGGGAATTCATCTTCTTGGTTCTTTCGATAAAGTCACGTAGAGTGGAAATAATAAAATAATAAAAATAAAACATAATAAAATTATTCTCACGACGTTTCGGCCACAACGCAAGCAGCCGTCCTCAGGTGGAGAGCAGGTCTGTCGAGTAGACAGAGTCTGAATGACACACTCCAGGCTTGCACGGGCATAATGACTTTAAACCCCCCGCCAAACCTCCTATGCATTTCACAAGTAGTACTAATCGCATATCTGCATTTCCCATAAATATGCTAAATTCCTCTTGATATGTAAATTATTTTGTCAAGACGCCCTTCCCCCCTCCATCCCAGCTTAAATAGTCGCTCCAAGCCTGGAGTGTGTCATTCAGACTCTGTCTACTCGACAGACCTGCTCTCCACCTGAGGACGGCTGCTTGCGTTGTGGCCGAAACGTCGTGAGAATTATTTTATTATGTTTTATTATTTTAATTTTATTATTTCCATTCTGAAGGTTCACTTCAGGGGTTGACACCCCCCGGCCATCCCCTCCCGCTCTATTTGCACGGCGGTGTTGTCCCGCGTCCCACCGCGTCCCAGTGAATTCAAACCGCACGAAGCGAACTTTGGGTGGTAATAGGTTCGCCGCGTTTGCGACGCGGAATCGCACGAAAGAACGAACCCGCACGGAGCGCAGCGAAAACTTGCATCGTTATTATTGTTGTTGTTTGTTGTTGTGGTTGTGTTGTCCGTGTGTGTGTGTCTGTGATGGCAGGAGCGTCATGGGAGATGACGCAGGAGAGTTGGACTTCAGCGCCCTCCTCAAAAAGAGGTACGCGCGTCGCCTCCAAGACTCGCCGCCTCGCTGGGTCGTCTCACACATCGGGGATCTTAAGGACCCCGCGTTCGCACCCCGTGGCTCCGTCTAGAGCCACGTGGCTCCGTCTAGAGCCACGTGGCTCCTTTAGAGGCGCCGTCCTCGGGGGCTCATGGCGAACGCAGCTTCATTCGCGCCCTCGTCAGCTCGCGCATCGCATTCATTCTGTGCTCTGGGGCCCTCGCTGTACTAACGGAGCGTGCTCTGTCCGTGTGCCGCGCCTGCGTGTGTGTGCGTGCGCGCATGTGCCTGTACGTACGTGTGGCTGTGTGTGCGCGTGTGCCCGTGCGTGTGGCTGCGTGTGTGTGTGCGTGTGGCTGCGTGTGTGTGTGCGTGTGTGTGTGCGTGTGGCTGTGTGTGTGTGTGGCTGTGTGTGTGTGTGCGTATGCACGTGCGTGTGGCTGTGTGTGTGGCTGCGTGTGGCTGTGCGTGTGGCTGCGTGTGTGTGTGGCTGTGTGTGTGTGTGGCTGTGTGTGTGTGTGCGTATGCCCGTGCGTGTGGCTGTGTGTGTGGCTGCGTGTGGCTGTGCGTGTGGCTGCGTGTGTGTGTGCGTGTGGCTGTGTGTGTGTGTGTGGCTGTGTGTGTGTGACTGTGTGTGCGCGTGTATGTGTGTGCGTGTGGCTGTGTGTGTGTGTGCCCGTGCGTGTGGCTGTGTGTGTGTGCCCGTGCGTGTGGCTGTGTGTGTGTGTGCGTGTGGCTGTGTGTGTGCGTGCGTGTGGCTGTGTGTGTGTGTGTGCGTGTGGCTGTGTGTGTGTGCGTGTGGCTGTGTGTGTGTGCGTGTGGCTGTGTGTGTGTGCGTGTGGCTGTGTGTGTGTGCGTGTGGCTGCGTGTGGCTGTGCGTGTGGCTGCGTGTGGCTGTGCGTGTGGCTGCGTGTGTGTGTGGCTGTGTGTGTGTGGCTGTGTGTGTGTGACTGTGTGTGCGCGTGTATGTGTGTGCGTGTGGCTGTGTGTGTGTGTGCCCGTGCGTGTGGCTGTGTGTGTGTGCCCGTGCGTGTGGCTGTGTGTGTGCGTGTGGCTGTGTGTGTGCGTGCGTGTGGCTGTGTGTGTGTGTGCGTGCGTGTGGCTGTGTGTGTGTGTGCGTGTGGCTGTGTGTGCCCGTGCGTGTGGCTGTGTGTGTGTGTGTGCGTGTGGCTGTGTGTGTGTGCGTGTGGCTGTGTGTGTGTGCGTGTGGCTGTGTGTGTGTGTGTGCGTGTGGCTGTGTGTGTGTGTGTGGCTGTGTGTGTGTGTGGCTGTGTGTGTGTGCGTGTGGCTGTGTGTGCGCCTGCTCTGCCTCCCCTTGCTCCTCATGCTTCCGCTCCCCTGCGCTTCTTCTGCTTCCGCTTCGCGCTCCACGCCGCTGCCGTGGCCGCCTCCTCTCGGTGGCACCGCTCCGACTCACGACGCAGAGGAGGGTGAGAGGGGTCGTGGGGGCGGGGGGGCGGGGGGGGGGCATGAAGTGGGGGGCGGAGGTGATCCCCCACTGTCAGGGTTCTATTCAAGAATGTTAACATTCGGAACTTTGTCCCCACCCACCGCCTCCACCTTGGCAAGTTTCCACCTGTCACTAATCCGGGTGGTGGCTGTAGTGGTGGTGGTGGTAGTGCTAACGGGGATGGTGGTTGTGCGGGATGTTAATGGTGGTTTGCGCCGATAGTTGCGCTGGTTTGTTTGACCATACTTCACCACGCTGGTCGGTGTGGGTTCGGCGAAGGAGGACTCGCCGCTGGCGTTCGCTGTGGACGGGAATCTACCGCGGCTGCCGAGTTGGTGGCGCAGAGCATGAAGCGACGACGTCGCCGCCGCTCATGGCTCCATGACGAGTGCTCGATTGTAATGAGCCCCGTGCACCCTTTGACCTCTTCACGTGAACAAACCTCGACTCCCTCCCCCGTCCCCCGACCTCGGGGGTCGGCAAACTGCGACTCAGGAGCCGCATGCGGCTCTTTAAGGAATTCCTTCGTTGACATTCTTTGTTGAGGGCCGCCGTCTCAGTGTTCACATTGCATTGCGGCTCTCGAAAAAAAGTTTTTTTTTCTCCCACCGAATTCGATAAAAGATGCCTCTCTTCTTGCTCTTTTGGTTTCCGATCCGTGCCCTACTCGATTCCTTCGTCTCATTCTCTTCTACACCGCCTCCTCCTCCTCTCCGCTGCATCCTCCTAAATCTCCTCCTCCTCCTCTCCTCCTCGCTCCATCCTCCTAAATCTCCTCCTCTCCTCCTCGCTCCATCCTCCTCCTCCTCGCTCGATCCTCCTAAATCTCCTCCTCTTCCTCTCCTCCCCCTCTCCTCCTCACTCCATCCTCCTCCTCCTCCTCTCCGCTCCATCCTCCTAAATCTCCTCCTCCTCTCCTCCTCGCTCCATCCTCCTCGCTCCATCCTCCTCCTCCTCCTCCTCTCCGCTCCATCCTCCTAAATATTCTTCTGCTCCTCCTCCTGCTGCTCCCCTGCAGAGAGCTGAAGGAGGTGCAGGAGACGGGTCCCGACGAGGACGTCTTCAACCTGCTCAAGAGCGCCAACCCGCACGACTACGAGAAGATCGCCTTCCAGCACGGCATCACCGACCTGCGCGGCATGCTGAAGAGGCTGCGGCGCATGAAGGCCGAGAAGACCAAGAGCGCAGGTGTGCGTGGGTGTATGTGTGTGCGTGTGTGTGTGTATGTGCGAGGGGTGTGGGTGTGTGTGTGTGCGTGGGTGTATGTGTGTGTGTGTGAGGGTGTGTGTGTGTGCGTGGTTGTATGTGTGTGTGTGTGAGGGTGTGTGCGTGGGTGTGTGTGTGTGTGTGCGTGGGTGTGTGTGTGTGTGCGTGGGTGTATGTGTGTGTGTGCGTGTGCGAGGGTGTATGTGTGTGTGGTTGTGTGTGTGTGTGTGCGAGGGGTGTGTGTGTGTGCGAGCGGGTCTGTGCGTGTGTGCGTGGGTGTATATATGTGTGTGTGCGAGAGGGGTGTGTGTGTGTGTGCGATATGTGCTCGCTAACAGCACTTGCCCCTACAGTCTGTCAAGGCTATACGGGGGATCTTTGTCTTGTGAGGGGATGTGTGCGCGTGTGTGAGGGTTTGTGTGTGGGGAGCGGTGGCGCAGCGGTTAACGCACTGCGCTACGAACCCCGGCGATCCGAGTTCGATTTCCGCTCACGGTCAACACCAGTCACCGTTATATGGAACGGTCCCGGGCCTCCCCTAAGTCGACTCGGCCTTTAACGAGTTCCTGGTGCGATGTGTAAACATCAGCGTCGGGGGTGGTGCTGGCCACCCACACCCTTCGTGTGCCGTGCCGGCCTTCATAATTGCTGTTTGCTAACAGGACTTGCCCCAACAGACTGTTAGAGGCTATACGGGGGATCTTTGTCTCGTTCTCTGAAGCTGATCATGGAAACGTCTCCGTTTGTCTCTTTCATTCGCCCCGTGCAACTCAATCATCAATGACACGACCGACTGACCGACTGACCGACCGACTGACCGGCCGACGAAATCAACTGACCGATGGACACAGCCTTCCTCAAGAAGCTCGACCCGGCATACCAGGTGGACAAGGGCTCCAAGGCGCGCTTCGTGGTGGAGATGAACGACCCCAACGCAGAGGTCAAGTGGCTCAAGAATGGCCAGGAGATTCGGCAGAGTGGAAAGTGGGTCCCCCCCCCTATTTATCCCCCCTTCCGATGTCTCCGACGATGGGAGCCCCCTTTCTCAGACCCCTGAACTCCCGCCACCTCCCCCCAGACGAGGTTGCCAGCTGGCCTGTTTTTGGTCGTTCAGCATCGCCTCTCTTTGCGGTAGCTGCTTGTCCTGGGAAATCTGCCGGTCTTCTCGGGGGCATTCAAAGTGAATGTTTGTCAGCTGTGTAAAAAGAATCATGATAATGATACAGCACTTAAACTCACACCGCATTCTGGTCCTGTAAGATATTCTTCTCTCCCACATGTTCCGTTGTGTTGTTATAGCTAAGAGGTGGCAACCCAAGGCTAGATCCCCATATCCCCCAGACTCTCACATACGAGGGGATGATACCAACGTGCCCGCTGATGTTAGCCGGGAATCGAACAAAGCTTCGCTGGGTTCATACCGCATTGCGCTAACCACTGCGCCACCGCTTGCTCGCTCGCGTTGCGCTACGAAAAAATCTGTCAACGCGATTCATCTTTCTCAAATGAACATTGAGGCATTGGTGCTCATGTCCCATTAACGGCCTTGAGCCAGCGGTGGAAATTCCTCCTTCCTATGGCAGGGCGCGAGCCTAACCACAGGACAATTGCTGTTGACTTCCCCACAAAGTTGTACTTTACTTTATCGACCCCGGAGATATGATGGGCTGGGTGAACCCCAACCCCCCCCCGCCATACCTTCAAACCAAGATTTTATCTCTCAAACTCGCGATCTGCGTGCCGCTAAGCAGTTTGTCGAACGCACGGCGGCATGCAATTTTGCCCCCGTCTCCCTCTCTCTCTCGGCACGAGAGCTCAATGGACGCGTGCCCGCCGACAAGCGAGGTGTCCGTCGTTGGCTTCTGCGAACAAAGGGCCATTTTGTTTGCTCCAATATAAACGCAAGAATAATAATAATGATGATGAAATATTGAGTAGGCATAAGGATTTATAAGTTACTTTGCCAATATACTGCTGGATCAAGGGGAGCCTCAGACGCAATAGAATAACGTTGTTTCGGTAGTGTACGATGTATGTTAAAGGGACGAGAATAACCGTGTAGCACTATTGAGAATGCAAAGGCGCAGGGCTGCAATTGCCTACTAGCGCCACTGCTGACGGAAGGGGCCCCCCACGAAAGGAAGCTTTTGAGAGCCCCCTCTTATAGGGTATTTGGCCTCCTCTTCCACCGTCACGTGTACCACGCTACCATTACCCAGCGTGCAATGTACACTGAGTGCGCTAAAATAACGTGATGGAATAAGCGCTCTCTTCTTGTCTTGCAAGCCCTTTGCCAATCCGCTCCTGGGTGAAGGCCACTCGCTGCACACCGTGCCGGTCACGCGGGTTGTTTGACCATACTTCACCACGCTGGTCAGTGCGGGTTGGCGAAGGCGGCCTTCGGGACATCATCGCTCGCCGCCCACGCGGTGTCTGGGATCCGAGCCGACTTCACCGCGCCACGCTGCTCCACGCTTGCTTTTGATGTTTCCATGCGCGAGCGCATGTTCCGGCGCCGTTCGTCAATAACGCTTGCTCCCTTTCAAACAGCGGCAGCGGCATCAGCATCACCATCAGCAGCATCAGCAGCAAAGGGGAGAGAGAGTCTGGGTTCTAACGCTGGGTGCACGTGCGCAGCGGCTATATCACGCCTGGCTCGGCTGCACTAACGCTTTGCTCTGTCGTGTCTCATCCGCCTGCGTTTGGATCGCCGCTCCCATCACCTCCCCCCGCATGTCCTTCTGTCGATCCGACAACCCCCGCCTGTGGCAGCAAGTGAGTACTGCATCCATTCTCTCGGTTTGGGCGCCACGGTGGCGAGATGTGAACTTCCTCGCCTGGTGGACAGGAGTGCGTGGGTTCGATCCCGACACCGGGGGTTTGCGTGTCTATCTGTCTGTCTCTCTCTCTCTCGCTCCCGCGTGGATTTTTCTCCGGGTCCTCTGGTTATTCCCTCCGCATTTAGAATCAAGCCTTTAGAGTCATTGGCTGCTATAAATGTCCACATGATAAGCCACTTCGTCGAACTATTATTTGTGGTAGGAAAGGTCGCTTCTGAAAAAAGCGCTATATAGCTTAGTGGGCCTTACCTGGTAAAATATAAATAGTTTTCATGGTTTGTATAGAGTGGAGAGGGATCCGCACGCGTTTATCAAACGGGTGCAGAGGTTTCGCCGGTACTTACAGCCAGCAAGCATCATCAGGCAACTGCCTGACATCTGGAGAGCGATGCTCACGGAGCAGAGGTTGTGTCAAGTTTGATGTGGTGCACGTGACTGTGTACGGCTGATTCCAAAGCTTGGTTCGACATTGGTTTCATAGTTTTGGAAGGGTTGGTTGGTGGTGGCAGTGGCAATGATAATGATGATAACGATCACGACTTATTATTGGATGATGAGAATGATAATCACGGCGAAGGTGACAATCATGATAATTGTTGCTTGTTTCTGCCGCTAATGATTTATTATGATGATTGAATATAGGCGTAAATAGTTGTGATCGACGAATGATATTTAGAATTAATGACTCTAAATAATTAATGAGTCACAATGCGGGATTGACTATGGGGAAGAACAATATGGATGATGATGATGATAATTATTGAGAAACATCGTCCTTCACGATATTCTTAAACAGATAGGGAACTCAGACCGCACACACATACTGTATACACAAACAAAGATCCCCCGTGTAGCCTTAACAGCCTGTTGGGGTAAGTGCTGTTAGCGAGCACCTACGAAGGCCGGCACGGCACGCAAGGAAGTAGCTGTCCAACAACACCACCCCCCGGCCGCCTTTGTCTCCCCAGCGGCGACTCTTTACGTACCGCACAGGGTACTCATTTGAGGCTGAGTCGACCTAGGGGGAACCCCAGGAGTAGATTCCCACGCACGCGTTGCCCGCTACGCCCCGGCTCGTGTCTCGCCGAGCCACGCGACGTCACACCGCTGGCTCGGAGTGCTAGCGCGCTGCTGCTGCTGCTGCTGCTGCTGCCCATTCTGCCGAGCCAGGTACATCATGGAGACCAAGGGCAACCAGCGCATCCTCGTCATCAAGAACTGCAACTTGGCCGACGACGCCGCCTACCAGGTGATGGTGGGCGACGAGAAGTGCAGCACGGAGCTCTTCGTCAAAGGTGCCTGCGGCCACGATCGTGGAGCCTCGCTCGCTCGCTCGCCTCCTCTCGACTGCGCCACTCTCCCCTGGCTCTTACCCTCTCCCCACGCCCCTCCACTCCTTACCGTCCCTCCCCTGCTGCCCTTGCGCGACCCCCGCTGTGCCCTGTTACGGTCACTCGCACCGCTCCCGCCGTCTCAACCACTCTACTTGTGTTGCCGCTTTTTAAGCTCTGTTGTTGTGGAGAGACCGCGCCTTGGGCTAAGGTGCGAACTCTCTCTGTTTAAATACAAGATTGTAATTTAACACACGATCTCCCCCACGTGTTGTGATGATCTCCCCCACGTGTTGTGACGATCACCCCTACGTCAGTTTAACACGTCGGCTTCCGCGACCAATATTATTCATCATAAACGTGTTTGGGTTTAGATCGCGTTATTTATAAATGTGTCGTAACCCTCCACCCACCCGACACGGCCAATCGGCAAAAAAGTGTCACGTTGACAAAAGACAAATAGTTCACTGCTTTAGCCGACCGGTGTGTTGAGTGAATCCACAACATTTACAGTTTGAGTAGTTCGACGTTTCGCTGGTAATTACATCCAGCATCATCAGGCAATTCGCCGGAATGGTGAAGCTCCCCTCTAGCTTCCGGTCTTATATAGAGCAGCAGCAGGGTGACGTCATCCCCACGTGTTGTGACGTCATCCCCACGTGTCGTGACGATCTCTCCCCACGTGTTGTGACGTCATCCCCACGTGCTGTGACGATCTCCCCCCACGTGTTGTGACGTCATCCCCACGTGCTGTGACGACCTCCCCACGTGTCGTGACGTCATCCCCACGTGTTGTGACGATCTCTCCCCACGTGTCGTGACGGTCATCCCCCACGTGTTGTGACGACCTCCCCACGTGTTGTGACGTCATACCCACGTGTTTGTGATGATCTCCCCCCTCGTGTTGTGACGTCATCCCCACGTGTCGTGACGTCATCCCCACGTGTTGTGACGATCTCCCCCCACGTGCTGTGACGATCTCCCCACGTGTTGTGACGTCATCCCCTTGTGTTGTGACGATTTCCCCCCACGTGTTGTGACGTCATCCCCCCACGTGTTGTGACGATCTCCCCCACGTGTCGTGTTGTCGGCAGAGCCGCCTGTGGTCATCACGCAGGGCCTCGACGACCACTCCGTGCTGGTCGGGGAGCGCGTGGAGATGATGTGCGAGGTGTCCGAGGAGGGAGCTGCCGTCAAATGGTAGTGACGCGCACGCACGCAGCGTCACCCGCGCTTCACTAGCTCTGGTTTTTAGGTTCTATTTTGCCACGGGTGAAAAAAAAAAAACACTTGAGAAATAAATTCTCACCATTGGAACCTCATTTGCCAGTAGCAAATATGATCATTGTTATTTTTTTGTTGCCAGATAAAAGGGTAAAAAAACAATTATCAAATAAATTCTCATTTCCGATTGGGGGACCTGTTTACGTCATAGAATCCTGGTTCCTACAGCCCCACCACTAGCCCTTCTCCCCCAAAAAATCACGAAAATTATTCAAAAAACAACCGTGTAGACTGAAGACGGTCACGTTCCGACTGGCAAGGTCGTGCAGGGACACGGTGCTGTTACAGCCCGGCACAAAGGATACAAGGCGAATAGATCGTGTCACGTATAGCAAACACCAACAACAACAACAACAAAATAACCATTAATTGATGAAATGTTGCAAAGCAGAGCGATCGATCAATCGCGTGTACACTCGAAAGGAAATCTGAGGTCCAAAAAGCGACGTGAAGTCGGACGAGGATGGTCATGTTTTGATCGCGAGCATTCTCGCTCGGTTGCTGCAGAGATTAGGAGCCGTGCCCGGCCGCGCGGAAGGAGTTTAAACCCAGTTTGGTTCTCGCATAGCGGGGGACGTTGAGCAGGAACTGGGGTGGAGCTTCGAAGGATACGGAACTTTACCTGGGGGATTCAGCGATCGGGGTAGCGGGGATCACCTAGCCCCCTCTACAGAGGTAATCTCCATCGCCCCACTTGCGGTTGCTCGCTGAGCTGCAATGGCTTCCGGTTGCTGAACGAAGACACGGTACGATCGCGCTCGTTACGTGTAGCGCTCGCCACAAATGAACCACAGTACCTCGCTGCTGATCTTGTCAAGGAGCATAAACCATCATCACGCAAACTCCGGTCATCCTTGCAGCAGCAGTAGCAGCAGCAGAGACTTTTAGCGAGCCACCGAGCGAAGACGGTGGTCACCGCATCGCGTGGCACTTTTGGATGCGCTTCCGTGGCCGTCTGGAACGCTCTTCCGTCCGATATTATGAATCCGCTGGAGCTGTGCACTTTTAAATCAAATGGATTGGAAACTCATTTCTTTAAAACAGCTTTTTGCGTGTTAGTTTGCTGCCCTTCCCCCGCACCTCCAATTAGCGCGGTTGGCTACGTACGGTGCGAAAGAAGTTCAACACACATACACACATACCAACTCCGGCTCGCATCCCTCGGCCGGTAACGGTCGACGCTCTCCTCGGACCCGGCGCGAGAGACAGTGAGCGAGGTCACCGCGCCCCACGTGAACCCGGCCCCTTGTCAAGTGGTAACACTGCCCTCTCTCGGTTTTGGATGTTAATTTATCATTTAACGTTTGTCATTCATCATACAGCACACACATGTGTGTGTGTTACCCCCTGAGAAAAATAAATGTCAGCCCCAGCTCCACCCACAATTGCCCCAACACACACACACACACGGAAGATTTCCACTCGCCTCAGATGTTTACTCGACATTCACTTGTATAGGAGCCAGCGATGAGATTATTCTAAGAAGAATTATTGTTATACAATATTATTATTACGTGCAGAAGCGAGATCAACTTCGGTATCACAGGGACATGAGGAAGGACAACGGCTTGGGGAGACCATTGGCCATGACCTATCCACTGCTGGATAGACCATGGCCGACGACCGATGATGAACGAGCACGAAGCACAAAACTTAGATGACCTCCGTCTGAGCGCGTGCGAGGGAACGTACGCGATCCCGGACACAATAACGTCTCCGTGTCCCCGCAGGATGAAGGACGGCGTGGAGCTGACCCGCGAGGAGACGTTCAAGTATCGCTTCAAGAAGGACGGCACTCGCCACTGCCTCATCATCAACTGACGCCACTAAGGAGGACGCTGGCCGCTACAGCGTGCGCACAAACGGCGGCGAGTCCATGGCTGAGCTACACGTCGAGGGTACGGACATCGCACGCGCACACGCGCATACGCAAGCGCATTGCACGCACACTCGCACGTGTGTGCACGCGCACTCGCACGCACACACGCGCGAACGCACGCGCGCACGCACACCAACGGACGCACGCACACCAACGGACGCGCGCACGCAAACCAACGGACAGACGGACGGATGGACGGATGGGAGGGAGAGGCACTACAGATGGACGGACGGATGGAAGGGGATGAACGGACAGACGGAGGGATGGACAGATTAAAAATGGGACGGACGTACAGATGGACGGATAGACAGACTGGTGGACGGACGGACGGACTGATGGATGAATGGATGGGACACAGACGGATGGACGGATAGAGGAATCGACGAATGGATGGAGGCACGAGTGGACAGCGATGGAGGGATGAACGTGCAGACGTACAGACAGAAGCGCTGCTGCTCCTCCATTGTCCAACCGCTGCCTGCACGCTGTGTGAACCCTCCCGTTCGCTCCCGTTCTTCGCATGTGTGCTTCTGCCGCTCCGAGACGCTGGCTACGATTGGGCGCATCGCAAATGTGAGCTGTGTGCTGCCGTTGTCGTTTGCTGCTGCTGCTGTTGTTGAACGGCGCAGAGAAGCAGCTGGAGGTGCTGCAGAGCATCGCGGATCTGACCATCAAGGCCCAGGAGCAGGCCGTGTTCAAGTGCGAGGTGTCCGACGAGAAGGTGACGGGGCGGTGGTTCAAGAACGGCGTGGAGGTGATACCCACCCCGCGCATCAACGCCACGCACGTGGGCAGGTGGGCGTGGTCACGTCGGCGTGGGGTGCCACCGTCGATGTCGTCGTCATTATCATCATAATCGTCATCATTGTCTTCACCGTCGTCGTCATTGTCTTCTCCATCGTCGTCGTCATCATTGTCATCATCATCGTGCCACGTGTGAGAAAGCGACCGTGATCATCATCATCATTGTTGTCAGCATCATAGCAACCATTGTTGTATTGAGTATCATCATCTTAATCAGCTTTTGTTGTCCTTATCATCATCACGAATCTAGGAATCAATCGTTTAGCACCGTTTATCATTGCCACTGTCATCGATATCATCTTAACGGTAAATCAAGGTCGGGCTTGATTGTAATATCATCATTGCATCAACAGTCATCAGTGTCCTAACCATTATCGTCTTGAGGATTGTCATTGTCGTCATCATCATCACTGTTTCGTCATTGCACTTCTTGTCTAGTCAGGAGGACTACAATCATCGTCATCATCATCTTTGTCATCATCATCTTCACCATCACTCTCGATTAATATTATCATCATGATCATCATCATCGCAATCACCGTCGCCAGTATCCTTCCCCCCACTGGGAGCGCCGTCGCAAGCTGGTCACGGCCGCGCCGTCGCTTTTCCCTGCGCGCCCCCCCCCCCCCCCCGCAGGATTCACAAGCTCACGATCGACAGCGTGACAGGAGGCCGACGAGGGCGACTACACCTTCGTGCCCGACGGTTACGCCATCTCGCTCTCCGCCAAGCTCAACATGCTGGGTGAGCATCGCCGGCCGGCTCGCGTGCCACCCAACTTGCCGCGAGGCCGGATGAAGTCGGTGTCGTCGTGGTCGTTGTTGATGATGTGACAGCAGCAGGCAAGGGTTGAGCGACTGAGCACAACGACGACGACAACAACAAACAACAAAATAACGATCGTAATTTACGTTTGTAAAAGTGGCGCATTTCATCCGGAGGTTCCAAATGCCGCGTCGCGTTAATGGGAACGAGGAAACGAACAGAGAATCTGCAGGGTGAGCTTTCAAGACAGGGCTTCAAGAGCTCGAACTGACTCCGATTGCCTCATTAGAGCAAAGCATAGGAGGTGGTGGGTGGGTAGCTGGGTAGGTGGCTCGGGCCTCCGCGGCAAGCCGACTCGCCGGCTCGCACACTCCACGCGCGCAGCGTGCTCGCCACGAGGGTTCTCTCGACGCGGGGCGAGAGAGACGAGCAGAGGTCCGTGGGAAGCGGACGCCCCCGGTGAGACCGCACCCTTGGCCCTAACGGTGGCGGCTCTGCGAGTGGACAAGTTTTAGATTGAAGAACTTATTTATTTGGAAGTACTTTTTTATTTCATGGGACCTCCTTTGCCAGTACCAAAATATGAGAGTAGGTTTTTCTCTTTTTTTGGCAACAAAACAGGTGTTGAGATGTTAAAATGTCTTTGTGCTGAACGCCTTTTGGTGTCCTTCTGGTCTAACGCCGTTTGAGGACGAGGCTCAAAAGAAAGCTGTCTCTGATGTGGACCAATCAGTTTTAGAAGACAATGCATGTATTATCAGAGTACGTTTTTTGTTAGCATTTGGACCACAAGCATTGTGGTTAATGCAGACATGATTCTTGTAAAAAGTTTCAGTTTGGTGTTTTAACATCTTAACACCTGCCAGAAAAAATGAGAAAACCTATTATCATGCTTTTTTGTTTTGCTGCGTTTAGAATCCTACCCCCACTAGCTGACCAATGAGATGGTCTCAGAGAGCACGGGACGGTACAGCAAGTAGAATGCTGCTATTGACACGGCCGATGTGGAAACGTGGGGTAGAGACAATACACGCGATTGTTTACAACAACAACAAAAACATCTCCCAAACGATCTCTGATTTGATTTTTTATTTTCTTTCCTTCAGAGGTGAAGATTGACTACGTGCCAAGGCAAGGTGAGAACTGGGCCACGCTCGCACGTCCACGCGGTCTGCTGCTCTGCGCCGTGCAGGACCACGGACACCCGACCCCCACTCCCTTCCTTCTGCCAAGAATCGTGACCCAGCGGCACATTTTAAATCCAGCTTGAAGCCGCCTATTGGTGTTCATCGGCTCTATCCTGTGTTCTGATTGGACGTCACCTATACTGTGTAATTACTACCACTGGCCTGTCCTGTGTTGTGATTGGACGTCACCTGTACTGTGTAATTACTACCACTGGCTTGTCCTGTGCTATGATTGGACGTCACCTGTGCTGTGTAATTACTACCACTGGCTTGTCCTGTGTTCTGATTGGACGTCACCTATACTGTGTAATTACTACCACTGGCTTGTCCTGTGTTCTGATTGGACGTCACCTGTACTGTGTAATTACTACCACTGGCTTGTCCTGTGTTCTGATTGGACGTCACCTGTACTGTGTAATTACTACCACTGGCCTGTCCTGTGTTCTGATTGGACGTCACCTGTACTGTGTAATTACTACCACTGGCCTGTCCTGTGTTCTGATTGGACGTCACCTATACTGTGTAACTACTACCACTGGCCTGTCCTGTGTTCTGATTGGACGACACCTGTACTGTGTAATTACTACCACTGGCCTGTCCTGTGCTGTGATTGGACGTCACCTGTACTGTGTAATTACTACCACTGGCCTGTCCTGTGTTCTGATTGGACGTCACCTGTACTGTGTAATTACTACCACTGGCTTGTCCTGTGTTCTGATTGGACGTCACCTGTACTGAGTGTAAGATCGGTGAGTGGAGCGATGTTGCAATGGTTCTCTCGCCGTGCCCTGAATCCCGGCGACCCAAGTTCGATTCCCGGCCACGGCTATTCACATCGGTGGCGAGTGACATCTGAAATGGTCTTAGACCACTCTTGCGTCGGCCGGCACTCACCAACGTGGTGAAGTTTCGTCAAATAACTCCCAAAACCCGCACAGAGTGAGGAGTCCCTCATCCAGCAGCATAGTGTTTTGTTTTATATTGCCACAGTGCGTGGCCAGGTTGCGGAGTTCAGCGGTAACAATCCAGAATCCGAATATTTATGTATACTGGAGGAATCCGATGAGCTATAAAGCTCTTGTTCGCGGACGCCCAGTCGACTCGCAAGCGGCGAGCATTCCAGTTCACATCCCCGACCCGAGGTTGGTGCATGCAGCGAGAGCACATTTATATCCCCGTGCCGGATAAAACTCGTCCCATTTTAAACCACCTCAACTGCCACCGTTTGCTCTGGGCAGACCGGTCCACCCCCCCCCCCCACCGCCCTTCCCGTGCCATGGCAATGTGGAGACGTTTCGCGACCATAGTCTTCTCTCTGGTCAGAACCGCCCAAGATCCACCTGGAGACGAGCGACAAGATGCAGCAGAATACCATCGTGGTGGTGGCGGGGAACAAGCTGCGCCTGGACGTGCCCATCACCGGGGACCCTGCGCCCAAAGTCATCTGGCAGAGAGGAGACCAGGTGTGCGCGTGCATGCGTGTATCTACCTGGGAGAGCGGGGGTGCAGCGGTTAGCGCGCTGCGCTACGAACCCGGCGGCCCGAGTGTCGATTCCCGTTCACGGCCACCAACACCGGTGACGGATTATTTGAACCGGCCTTGGGGCCTCTCCTAGGTCGACTCAGCCTCAAATGAGTGTCCTGGTGCGTTGTGCAAACATCGTCGCTAGGGAGACAAAGGCGGCCGGTGCTGGCCACCCCACCCCCTCGTGTGCCGTACCGGCCTTCAATACAGTAGGTGCTACTCGCTAACAGCACTTGCCCAACAGTCTGTTAAGGCGATGCGGGGGATCTTTGTCACTGTGATCGATGTCATCCTCACCAACATCATCGCTGGCATCATCATTTCCGAAGTTACAATAATGATCATTTAAATTTGTGTCACATCTAAATGATATTTAAACAATCTCAGTATCAGCCAATATCATCATCATCATCAATGTGATCAACATCAGTGTTCATGTCATTGCCATAATAGTAGTGGTCATCTTAATCAAAGTTGTTATCATCATCCAATATTAATACGATAAAAATGCACGTTGTTGTTGTTGTTTGTGAAGTTTCGTAAACATCCTCTTTGGTTCTTTCGGTAAAGTCACGTAGGTAGAAATAAAATTAAACAAAACAAAACACGACGTTTCGATCGCAACACAAGCAATCTTCATCAGGTGGGACAACCACAGCAAGAAAAAATGCTGAAGTAGGCGAGAGAGCTGCCGTGGCAAGAGGTTTTTTCTTTCTGTGGTTGTTCCACCTGATGAAGATAGCTTGTGTTGCGATCGAAACGTCGTCTTCTGTTTGAGTTTATTTAATTTCTACCTACGTGACTTTACCGAAAGAACCAAAGAGTATGGATTCCTGCAGTCAGGAAAGCTTCAAATCAAGATTCGTAAACATCCCTCGATTTACGAATAGGGGTTTTCCCTTTTTTTCTGGCAACAAAACTGACACCTTTTGCAAGGAATCATGCTTACATTAACCACAATACTTGCAGTCAAATGCAAACAAAAAACAATACTGCAAGTATTGTGGTTAATGTTAACATGATTCCTTGCAAAAGGTGTCAGTTTTGTTGCCAGAAAAAAGGGGAAAACCCCTATTAGTATATTTTGGTACTGGCAAAGGAGGTCCCATGATGATCCCTCGATTTATCCTGACAAAAGTGACTGCATCGGACTCGCCTCCGATTCCAGCTCCTGCATGACGCGGAGGTGACTGACCTCCACCGCCCCCACGACTCTACTCTCTCGCAGGGCATCTGCACGATCGCTGGCCGCGTGCGCGTCGAGTCGTTCCCGGACCACAGCACGTTCGTGATCGACTGTGCAGAGCGCGGGGATCAGGGCGAGTACTCCATCACCGTGCAGAACGAGGCCGGAGAAGACAAGGCCGACATGCACATCAAGGTCGTGGGTGAGTGACCGCAGCCACCCCGCAGGGATCAAGAGTGTCCACCCAGGCAATGAGCATTGTCCACCCGCCAGCATTGTCCACCTGTCCGCATTGTCTACCTGTTATCATTGGTCACTCGCTAGTATTGTCCACCTTTCTGCATTGTCCACCTGTTACCATTGTTCACTCGCTAGTATTGTCCACCTGCCAGCATTGTCCACCTGTTACCATTGGTCACTCGCTAGTATTGTCCAGCTGCCAGCATTGTCCACCTGTTATCATTGGCCACTCGCTAGTATTGTCCACCTGCCAGCATTGTCCACCTGTTACCATTGGTCACTTGCTAGTATTGTCCACCTGCCAACATTGTCCACCTGTTACCATTGGTCACTCGCTAGTATTGCCCACGAGATGACATTGTCCTCCCGCTAGCATTGTACACGTGCTAGTATTGTCCACCTGTTGGCATTGTTTCCTCGCTAGGATTGTTCGCTTGCTAGCATTGTCTATCGTCGTAGAATCATGAGCATTGTCAAATCACTAACAGTCAGTTTCCACTCACTAGGAGTGTCCACTCACTCGCATTGACCCCCTACCGGACTGAATCTCCTCTTCTCTCATCATCAGACGTGCCGGACCCCCCATTGGCTCCCACCATCGGAAACGTGGGCGAGGACTGGTGCTTTGCCAAGTGGTCACCCCCCGAGTACGACGGGGGCCTGCCCATCCTGGGTAAGAGCGGCCACGTGGTCCGCACTGCCTCCCGCCCGGACGCTGCCATTGCCCCTTCATTCGTTCGCTCGCTCGCCGCGGATGGTCGGGCGAAGGACGCCAAACGTGTGACCTCTCGCGGCGACGGCGTTTCGCGTAAACTGCTCTTGCTGCCGTACACCGGCGTCTTGAGCGATTTGTTTGATTATGGGGGGGTGGGGGCGAGCACGTGGGTGGCGCCATTCCTTTGAGGGTCGCGGTCCTCGCTTCGAACGTCGACCGCCGAGCGAAGCGAGCCCAGTTCGCCGCGGGAGTTTGCGCGTCGGGACCCAGCGACGCTCGCGACCGTCTCCCTCGGACGAAGGTCTCCAACGCTACGGGGACCGGTCGCGTTGGTTACGTGGCTAAGTGTTGCCGATGAGGCCCAGTTAAGTAGAAACCAGTTCGAGGGTTTTCTAGCTTGTAATGGCCAGGCCCACGGGTAGCGGTGGCTCGCTGAAGCGACCCTCTGACGTGAAAAAAACTGTTCAAGTCTGCGTTGCTTGTATGACGCATTGGCTTATGTGGCCACGTACTGCTGGCGAGGTGTGGCGAAGTTGAAATCAGTCAACACCAACCGGTGGCGTCAGTTTGTCATATCACGGCTTGCTGATGAGGCTCATTCAAGTCGAAGCCAGTTTAGGATTTCATTGCCTGAAATTGTACACCGTCTACCGGCATCGGTCACGTGGCTAAGTATTGCTGAAGAAGAGCCAGTGAAGTCGTAAGCAGTTGAAGGATGTTAGGTTTGTAGTGTCTGCGCCAACCATTGGCGCCGGTTTGTGAGGTCACAGGTTGAATTGTGAGGTCACGGGTTGGATCGTGAGGTCAGGGGTTGGATTGTTAGGTCACAGGTTGGATTGTGAGGTCAGGGGTTAGATTGTGAGGTCACGGGTTGGATTGTGAGATCACAGGTTGGATTGTGAGGTCACGAGTTGGATTGTGAGGTCACAGGTTGGAATGTGAGGTCACGGGTTGGATTGTGAGGTCACGGGTTGGATTGTGAGGTCACACGGGTTGGATTGTGAGGTCACGGGTTGGATTGTGAGGTTACAGGGTGTTGGCTCGACACAGCGATGATGATGATGACTCAATGGGCCTCCCTTGTGACCTCACGTGTCTCTCCCATCGACCCCCTGCCCCGCCCCCCTCCTACCGGCCCCGTCCTACCGGCCCCCTCCCCCGCCCTCAGGCTACGTGATCGAGCGCAAGAAGAAGCAGAGCTACCGCTGGATGAGGCTGAACTTTGACCTGTGGAAGGAGCTGGAGTTCGAGGCAAAGAGGATGATCGAGGGCGTCTCGTACGAGATGCGCATCTACGCCGTCAACGCCATCGGAATGTCACAGCCCAGCTCACCGAGCCGCCCCTTCGTGCCCATCGGTGAGAGTTAATCGGCTTCGCTCGTTAATATTCACGATAACCACCATTGTCCACCCGTTGCCATTGGCCACTCACTAGCAATGTCCACCCGCCAGTATTGTCCACCTGTTATCATTGGTCACTCACTAGTAACATTTTCTTGCTGTGGTTTTCACTCCTGATGCTGATTGCTTGTGTTGCAATCGAAACGTCGTGGGAATTGTATTGTTTTATTTTTATTATTTTATTATTATTTCCCTTCTACGTGACTTTACCGAAAGAGCCAAGAATATGAATCCCTGCAGTCACGAAAGCTTTAAATCGAAATTTAACCACCTGGGCATTTCACACGACCGACGTTATCCATAATAGAGATGTTTTTGGGTTAGATCGCATAAATATAAATGTGTCGTTAACCCCACCGCCGCCCGACACAGCCAATTCGTGAGGTTTGTCACGTTAACAAAACAGGCAGAGTTGTCGCCTGATGATGCTGGTTGTAATTACTGGCGAAACGTCGTCCTCGAATTGTAAATGTTGTGAGTTTACTCTCCAACACACCGGTGTTGCTGTACTAGTAACGAATTGGCATGCTTTCTTTACGTGACAAACCTTACTAATTGGCTGTGTTGGACGGCGGCGGGGTTAACGACGCATTTATATTTAAGCGATCTAACCCAATCATCTCTCGTGGATCTACTGGGGTAGCAGCATGTTCGGGGTCGGGGGGGGGAGCATGGGGCACAGCACAAAATAACACAACTATTAGAGAGCCTAGATTTGAAGCTTTCTTGACTGCAAGGATTCATATTCTTAGGTTTTTTCGGTAAAGTCACGTAGGTAAAAAATTAAAATTAATACAGCAGCCGCACCTTTACATCAGCCGCACCTTAACAACTCTTGGAACCTCCCAATTCAACCAGTCCACACAACAAAGGCTCATTCTTAGCAGCGGCTTCAGCCGCACCAACTTCACAATAATAATTATATCCAGGGGGCTGCCTTGGCTCCTCCCACCCTCAACCAGTATATATACAAGGACGGTTTTCTTGGAATTTCTCTTACTTGATACAGCTATCGTGCTGTGACGGTTCCACCTGAAGACGAAAGCTTATGTTGCCTCCGAAACGTCGTGATTTTTATTCTATTTTTATTTAACTTTTATTAATTTTAATTTTTTACCTACGTGACTTTACCGAAAAAACCTAAGAATATGGCTACGTGACCTCACGATGACCCCTATCCATCGAGCGGTTCTTACGTCGCGTATGCGTCCCCGAGATTGGTGCGCGCACGACTCGATTCTTTGGATGGTGAGCGCAATGATGCACCACTGTGTTTAGGTCGATGACTCCTCGCGTAGCCAGCTGCGTGCCTGCGAACGATTACTCACGGGCATTTTATTGGCGGTAGCGGCACAGCAGCGGGACGAAATACCGCGTTGACGCATGCATCATCGCCCCTGCTTCAACGCTGACCTGGGTTATGTGGAGTTATTTTGAATACGGGAGCAGACAGATTCAGAATGTGTCTTAACGACACGGTGTGTGTATTTGTACGTTTATAATATATTTGCCGTCGTTGCTGCAAACATTTTTATTTCATTTCCGTCCGGTATTTGCTTGACAAGTTAGGCAGTTTTGCACGTTATAAACTTGTTCAATTTTTTTTATTTTTTTTTATTTTTATATAGATAGGCAGGCAGGTGGTTCACAGGCCTTAGATGCTGAGCCGGCAACGATAAGATCACGGGTATCAAATCAATTGTCCACCCGTTACCATTGGTCACTCTCTAGTAATGGTCCCGAGTTTGCCCGTTGAGGAGTTGCCATCGAATGTGGGGAGGGGCAATTCTGTTCATTAGTGGGGGGCGGGGAGGAGGAGGAGCAGGGGGGGGCACGAGTCCCCCCACCCCCGCCCCCCCCGGGCCGCTGTGGCTGCACTTTGCGGGTGTCCCTCCTCGGCCTCCGGAACGAGGGTTGTGAGAGCGGCCGCATTCTTGACGAGGATCGCTTTCCAGAGAGAGCAGCGGCCAGTTATGTGGCGACAAATACCCGCGGTGAGCGGCGTGGGGGGGGGGGGTGAGTGTCATAGGGAAGTGAGCGGCGTGGGGGGGGGGGGTGAGCGGCGTGGGGGGTGAGAGTGTCATAGGGGAGTGAGCGGCGTGGGGGGGTGAGCGGCGTGGGGGGGGGGGGTGAGTGTCATAGGGGAGTGAGCGGCGTGGGGGGGGGGGGTGAGCGGCCTGGGGGGGTGAGCGGCCTGGGAGGGTGAGCGGCGTGGGGGGGTGTCATGGGGGGGTGAGTGTCGCAGTTGGTTGGGTGGTGGCAGTGTCATGGGGGGTGAGTGTTATGGGGGGGTGAGTGGCGTGGGTGAGTGTCATGGGGGGGGGTGAGTGCCATGGGGAGGTGAGTGTCACGGGAGGTGCGGGGTGAGTGTCATGGGGGGTGAGTGTCATGGGGGGGTGAGTGAGTGTCATGGGGGAAGAAGAGCGGAGACGTCAGCGACCGGCTAGGTGATGGGTGAGGTGGTGTTCAGTTGTGGATGTTTTGAGGAGTGGGGGGGTGGGTGGGTGAGTATGTTGGTGAGTGGTTGGGTGAGTGAAGGAGTATTTTGACTGGCTGCGTAGTTCGAGGAGTGAGAGGCTGAATGAGTGAGTGGTTGAATGGGTCGGTGGTTGGGTTACAGCCGTTGAATGTGTGAATGGTTTGGTTTGCAGTTGTATCACTGCATATCCATCATTCGGTGACCGTGTAATTGGATACGTGTTTGCCTGGATGCGTGAAGTATTTGAGTGAGTGAGTGATGATTGGGTGACGTTGGCGGTGATGATGCTATTCGAGATGGTCCGAATTAATATTCTGGTGATGGTGCGAGGTGATGGTGGGGATTGATGATGATGATGATTCTGGTGATGGGAGGGTGGTGGGGTGATGGGAGGGTGATGTTGACGATGCCGCTTCGTGATGATGGTGGGAGTGTCTAAGACGCCCCCAGCCCTCGTCTCTCTCCTCGCCTCTATAAATACGGGGGACACTCGTCCCTGTGGGCGTCTCCCGCACCTTCTCGGCACCTCCAGCCGCCACAACCCTAGCCCACAACCCTAGCCCACAACCCCAGCCCACCACCCTAGCCCACCCACCGCCTCGCTCGCCATGGTGAAGCAGACGGCCCCGGCAGACAGCGACGCGACACCGCTGCCCGGCACCGCATCGCCGACGGTGGAGGGCGGACAAAGCGCGCTGGATGTGCCGACCCAAGGGAACGGAGAGGTGGCGCCTGCGTTGGTCGTTGTGGTGGAGTGTAGCGTCGTCAACGGCACGAGCAATGGGGGGGGAGGAGGAGACGGTGGTGGCGATGATGGTGGTGATGATGGAGACGATCTGAAGGTGTCTGACGGCGGTGGCGACTCCCTTGCCGATGGACTCGACGGCTCCAGGGGGCTGACGACGCCGCTTCGAGTGAAACGTAGGGGGGGGGGGGAGAAAGAAAGAGAGAGAGTTTTGGAGATTTGTGTGACGGTCGCCCGATGCGTCGTGCTACGAACCCGGCGACCCGGGTTGGATTCCCGCTCACGGTCAACGCCGAACCGGTGCCGATTTTTTTTTCTGAACCGGTACCTGGGTCTCCCCTAGGTCGACTCGGCCTCAAACGAGTAGGGAGGCGAAAGGCGGCCAGGCGTGGTGCTGGCCACACCACCCCCTCGTGTGCCGTGCCGGCCTCGCCGTCAGTGCTTGCCACGACAGTCTGTCAAGTCAATGCGGGGGATCTTTGTGTGCGTGCGTGTGAACCATATCTGTCAACCCCATAGGGGTTAACCACTTATTATTGTACAGGGGAATTGAGTTTTCCAGATCCATACGGCGCACAGCCGTTTCAATACGGGTTACAAAAAATATGTTTTGTCTGTTTTGTTTGTGTTTCTCCCTCGTGCTGGGACTTTGTGGGATGAACGTTGAGATTTATTAGGGGCACGGGATGACCAGTGATGTCTGAATTGGTCCACAATAAGTTGGGGCACTGATAAGGGGTTGACAGGGATGCTATTCCTACACAGTATCTGTGTCTCTCTGTCTTTTGTCTCTGTCTATCCGTGCCTGTGTTTGTGTCTCTCCAGCTAACATGTTTACGAGTAGCTTTGAATTAAACTAATTAATTTGGTGATGATGACGGTGCCGCTGCTACGTTGGCAACGGTGGATAATTAGCAGCAGCAACAACGCATTTGCCAATAGCACTTCTTCAAAACACTAAAATAACACCGCATTAAATAAAAGTACCGTGCCTAATGTTTATTAATGCGTACTAATATTTACTATTATATATTGACATTGCCGCTTGTGTACTGCGAGTACCCGTTATATATTCAGCGCTGACACTTTAAAATACACTTTTAAATATCGTACATCCCTCCAGTGACGCCACTGGGGCGCTCTTCGCTTGATCTTAAAAGTATATATTTTTAAACATCTCATTTACAAAGCTTCTAACTCGTGTCGGACAATCCCGGGGTGGGGTCCACAATTAAATCTATGATGATGCTAGTTACAATAACAACGCACCTCCGATTATCACGGTTGGCTACGTACGGTCCGAAATAAGTGCAACGTACATACGTACGGTACAAGGTCGTAATTATAAGATATTATAATATTCAAATATGCTTCAAAATTCCCCTCCCCCCAATATATTGCAAAAAAATTGCTAAACCTTGGCCACAATATCAATGCATAGATTTCTGTTTATATGATTGTGGTTATGGCTGTACTTTATTAATCCCTAATCTCTGCCATGACATACAATGAAACAAGAAATGGTAAAAAAGTAAAAACAGTGCAATGTATTACAATACACTATTAGACATTATTGTAAAACATAAATAAAAAGTCCATCCCATGTGTTAGTGAATTTTTTAATATTTTAGGCAGGAAATTAGTTTTCAAATTTAGATATTTTTCTGGGTTGGGACCCCCAGACACCCTGGGAAATTTGGTCCCCCCCCAAATGTTGACTCCATGGCTACGGCCTTGGTACGGTACATTTAAGTACCCAGGAGAGAAAACAAAAACCCTCGCCGGCGTCTCAAAGGAGAGACGGCTTCGAGGAGGGTTGCTCGCTCGCCCGACCGCTTTGCTTCGCTGCGCTGGGACGTTTGGCCAAATTCCGCTCGTGAGAGTTTCCATTCTTGTTGGGGACGGGCAAAATGCTGGCGAACACGGAGATACAAAGACAAATATCCCACCCCTCCCCTCGTCTAGCCGTGCGACAGATTGTTTGGGGGCGAGTGCTGTTAGCGAGCACCTATTGAGTACCGCGCCAGGTACTCATTTCTCATTAAGGCCGAGTCAACCTAGAGGAGCCCCCCCCTCCCCCCCGCAGGACCGGTTCAAACATCCGTGAGCGGGGAATCGAACTTGTGTGGCCCCGGGGTTCCGTGGCGCGGCTGCAGGCACCGCACAGATGGATTCAACAATCCGCTGCTGTGTTCCCAAGCAAAGGCGGCGGCGTCGGCTCGGCTATCTGTACGGCTGGAGGGTGTTCCGCTCGAGCCGTGGGTGGTGTTGGTGGTGGTGGTTGGTGGTGTTGGTGTTGGGGTCAAGAATGTTGACTGCGATTGTCATGAATGCCAAACTGACAGCGGGGAGCTTAGAGAGGGGGAAGAAGCAGCAGTGCCCGATGAAGCGAGTAGCATATGTGCAGCAGCAGCAGTGAGATCGATTCGCGCACGTGGTGGTGATGGGCTGGTTGAAACCATCAGCACGCAGTGGATAGAACACGGTTGAAGATGCTGACGTGTGTATAACGGAATAGCAAGGTGCACTGTGAATGATAATAACGACAACCTTGCTGTGGATGTTGATATTTAGTTATTTTCTCATCTCTACGTTATACGTTGACGATTGTGACTGGATGGTAATGGTATTGAGGTTAATCGCTTTATTCTACTTCGAACTGTGGATAGCCTGATGATGCTAGTTGTAATTACTGGCGAAACGTCGTACTCTGATGTAAATGTTGTGGATTTGCTCTCTAACACACCGCCGTGCTGTACTCGTGACAAATTGGCACGTTTTGTTTACATGACAAACCTTACTAATTGGCTGTGTCGGGTGGTGGCGGGTTTAACGACACATTTATATTTACGCGTTCTAACCCCCCAAAAAAACCTACATTATAGACAATGGGATACATAGATGATGATGGCTGTGAGATGATTATAGTGATTTGGATTTGTTTTTGTAGCTGCCGATGGATTCATGAGATAACAATGGAGATGTGGATGATAATGATGGTGATGATCATCACGTGGCAGGCAAATCACATATTTTTCAGATCTGTAATTTACCCAATTTATTGCCCAACCAAGTTCAACGTGGCCTTTTTTGTATGTGCGGTCATTGGTAACCAGGCTGAGACCACCATCTCTTGAGAACACATGTTAATCACAGCTAAGTTCACGTGAGGCTATGGGTCTCTGCGGAAGTCTACTGGTCTCTATACAGGTCTGTGGGTCTCTGCATAGGTCATTTGTGACAGGGCCGCAACCATCAACTCGCGACTAGACATCTGTGAAAAAAAGCTTCATAGCTCATCAGATTCGTGCAGTCTAAATATTCTGATTCCGCTACACTTGGGAACCTGATTTAACCACGGGCGGCTGAAACCCAGATTCTTTCCCAGGATCTCATCGGTGTTGGCTCCGTGCACCTGAACCCGAAGCTACCCAGCCAACTCTCTGTGAAGCATCCATGACATCCACCTTGTCTCCCCCTCCTCTCCACCACCACCACCTCCCCCCACCCCTCTCCTTTAGCCCCCACGGGGGAGCCCACGAACGTGAGTGTGGAGGACGTCACCGACACCACCGTGACGCTCAAGTGGCGCGCGCCGGAGCGCATCGGCGCCGCGGGGCTCGACGGATATCGCATCGAGTACCGCAAGGAAGGCAGTGAGTGACACTCCTTTAGCTCGTGCAGTCGCGAGCCATCACCTCTCCTCCCCAGCGCCTCTGCTTCCCATCGCCGCCCCTCCCCTTCACCTCTCCTCCCTATGACCTCTCCTCCCCTTCACTCTCCTTCCCGTCACCTCTCCTCCCCAGCAACACTTTCCGTCGATGCACCAAGTTGGTCAGTGGGAGGCCTCTCAATCTTCTCTGATGGCCCCTGCAGTCTGGAACTCTTCCAGCCGTCCGTGCTGTCGACTCCCCTCCCCCTGTTAGAGTCCATGCTTCAGACCTTCCTCGTCTCTGCCTGTGACTCACTGCCCCTCTCTCTATAAAACAAATATTCTTTACTACTCCCGTACAGCAACCTTGAGATGTGGTTGCATTTAAACAGGCGCTGGTAGCGATATCACGCATGTGAGCCAGCACATTGGAGACGAGGGGTTGGTGGGTCACACACATATCGTGACTCCCTGCCCAAGGGCATTGAGGTCGTCATCTCCTGGCGTGCCTGGGTATGATGACAGTACGGCAAGTGTTCTTTTTACATGTTTACAGGGATTCAGCATTACCTCTCTCACCACACCACGTTAAAACACACTAAATATTGGAGTCGGCCCAACATCCCAATAGAGGTCCACAGAGCGTGGGCAATTGTTGGCAGCGCCCGGTTCTGGCTGCGCTTGCCTTCCCACTCTGTCTGTGATTTCTGCCGCGCCTCCGTATCTCATTTCCGATGGGAGGCTGGCTACGGCATCGGCAGCAACAACGAAACCAAAAACAACAACAGCAACAGCTACGCATGTGCGACGCTAAACGCTGGGTGGGGGTGTGCTGGGACCTCTGTCCTTTTGTGCCGGGCGGCTCGCCGACGCAGCGGAGGAGTGGGTGGTGGCGAACCCGGACCACCTGACGGAACGCACGGGCTACACGGTGAAGGGGCTGCCCATGGGCGAGAAGCTGCACTTCCGCGTGACTGCGTGGAACGCCGCCGGCCCCAGCAAGCCCGGCCTCACCAACCAGGCGGTCATCGTGCGCGAGGTCGTGGGTGAGTGGCCGGGAGGTGGCGGCGGCTCAGCCAACCACGCGGCACGGCGGGCACTCGGGACGGTGTCGATATCTGTTAGGTCACGACCACAAACACCGATCTTGTTGATGGGCATTCGCGACCAATGTTTTCCGTAATGAAGTGTGTTGTCTGTTGGGTTAGGTCGCGTAAATGCTAATGTGTCATTAAACCCGCCACCACCCGTCATATATAACTTACGTGACTACATTAACCCCTCCCCCCCCTCCACTCTGGTCTTCGCACCTGATAGGCCCACAGTGATGACATCACCTTTACTCTCCTATCACCAGCGACACGTCACAGTACTCGAATTGTAAATGTTGTGGGTTTGCTCACCAACACACACCGTTGTGCCTTGCAGAGCGACCCAAAATCCAGATGCCCCGTAACCTACGTCAGGTGTACATCAAGCGCGTGGGAGAGACCATCAACGTCCTCATCCCTTTCCTGGTGAGCGGCGCATTCCACGACGGTGGCGCTCTGGTAGCGGTCCGCTCGGTCGCGTCGTCGCGGGGAATGCAAGTGGCGGTCAGAATCGGGATCTTTGTTTTGGACTGGAGGCGGAATCCGATGGGCTGTGAAGCTCTTTTTCACTGATGTCCGGTCTTCTTCCTCTTCTTAACTTGAGCCGGCTCTGAGCCTGGCCCTGGCTGTGTTCAGGATGTACACGAGCTGAGCCTGAGTCGAGCCATGGCTGAGCTGCTCATGCGTCTTAACTGAGCGGCTCAAGCCTGACATGAGCTTCTTCTGAATCTTTCTCCTTTACGGCTGATGTAGATGCAGAGCCTCGTGAGTAGCGGGGCGTATTGCCGTGATGTGTTCGTGTTCGTGGATCGGGCATTACGTCGTTTTACGTTGCACGGTCTGTTCTGGATGACCACAGAGTTTATAATTTTCCATTTGCCCATCTGCATCTGCCATGGTTTGTGCAGTGGATACGGTTGTAAGGTCGACCATGAGCTTCACGAAAGATCAAAACCAGGGATCTTCTGCACTGGGTCTTTCACAAGGTGTCCAGTAGGGGTGGGTCATAAGATTACAACGATGCGACAGAGGTCACACCGCCTGTCCCCCCCCCCCCCCCCCGTCTCCTATCCTCCGGCCCCACGGCAGGGTAAGCCCAAGCCAAAGGCGACGTGGAAGAAGGACGGCGAGCCGGTGGACATCAAGCACGTGAGCGTGCGCAACAGCGACACGGACAGCATCCTCTTCATCCGCAAGTGCACGCGCGCTGACTCGGGCAAGTATGAGCTGAGCGTGCAGATCGACAACCTCGAGGACAAGGCCATCCTCGAGCTCCAGGTCATCGGTGAGTTCGGGGCTCGCGGTGCCGGCATCTCATTTTCTCTCCCCGCTCTCTCTCCCCGCTCTCTCTCCCCGCTCTCTCTTTTTTTGTTTTGTTACGATCAGTGAAAACAAGAAGATGCTCGGTGTAGTCGGCACTTTGCTTCGTTCATCATTTCGTATTTTATTTTTTTACTTTGCTTCATGTAAACCCCCACCTCTCGCTCACTCTCTCGCTCACTCTCTCGCTCACTCTCTCGCTCACTCTCTCCTCGTTCTCTCTCCCCGCCCTCTCTCTCCTCATTCTCTCTCTGTTCTTTTTTTTTACGATCAGTGGAAACGAGAAGATGCTCGGTGTCGTCGGCACTTTGCTTCGTTCATCATTTCGTTTTTTTTACTTTGCTTTATGTAAACGCTCACTCGCTCGCTCGCTCACTCTCTCGCTCACTCTCTCGCTCACTCTCTCGTTCACTCTCTCACTCACTCTCTCGCTCACTCTCTCGCTCACTCTCTCGCTCACTCTCTCGCTCACTCTCTCGCTCACTCTCTCGCTCTCTCTGTTCTCTCTCAGCTCTCCTTCTCCGCTCTCTCTCTCGGCTTTTTTAAAGGAAGCCCAGTAGGATGTTTATTTGGAATGCGTCGGGTTTTGCAACTAATGGTCAGATCCGTAGTTGATTTTCATATTTTAGTGGGGGGACGGGGGGGAAATCGGTGGGGGGTTAGGCAGCCACGAAGTGATCTGGCCAATTCTTGTTGTCGGGGATGCTTGGCGCAGTTTGAAGCGAAGCATCATAACGATCTCTACATTTCTGTCGCGAGAATTGCTCTCTAACTTACCGGTGAGTTGAAACGGTCGTAATTGCTCAACCCGATCTATTAATGCTTTGATATTTGCAATTGCTTTTGGTCTGTTTGCCTTTTGGCATTTTCTGGTCTAACACGAGGGAGACAAGGCTATGAAGGAGGCTGTCTCTGGTGTAGCACAATCAGTTCCAATGACAATGCTTACATTATTTTCAAAGCACGTTTGCATGTTTTACCACAAGCGTGTGTGGTTAATGCAGACGTAATGCCTTGCAATAGGTGTCTATTTGGTGTTTGAACATCTTAACGCCAAACAAATGGTGAAGAGTGGGTACCCCACAAACATTTGGCCAGATCCGTTAACGTGGCCTAACCCAAGCGTCTGTTATGAATCGCGGACGCTTGTCGTTATGTGGGAGAAATATTGCAAACGTCTGTCCGTCGGTTTTGTGTCTGCATGTCCGTTCCTCTGGACGACGATTGCGTGCTTTAACACACAACTACGATAACCCCCGAAAACGAGGGCGTCTGTGACCTATTGCCCACGGGCCAGAAATGGCCCTCTTGCAAGGTGTAACCAGGCCCACGGGCCATCAACTCGGCCAGACGACTCGAGTTGTTTAACGACCTCGCCTGGAATGCAGGAGTTCGTGGGTTCGATCCTTACCCTGATGCCTGTATGTTTGGAGTTTGTATTTTATTCATAATCAACGTTTTTGGGTTTAGATCGCGTTATTTATAAATGTGTCGTAACCCTCCACCACCCGACACGGCCAATCAGTAAAAAAGTGTCACGTTGACAAAAGACAAATAGTTCACTGCTTTAGCCCACCGGTGTGTTGAAGCCACAACATGTTCTCCCCCTGGTCCCGGAGATTTTTGTCCGGGTCCTCCGGTTCCCCCCCCCCCCCCCCCCCCCCACATTTGGGAACACGCGCTGAGAGTATTTGGCTGCAGTAAATGTCCACGTGACGACAAGCCACTTCGTTGAGCTGTTGTTTGTGATAGGCAGGTCGCTTGTGAAAAACGGCGATTACAGCTCAGTGGGCCTTACCTGGTTTTAATAAAAAATGTTTGGTTTTTAATTTCTCACCGAAAATGTCCCCGGTCGCATTTTGCAGATGAGAGTTAGCTGCGGCATGTGGCCAGTTGCCGCAGCCATACCATCTTGGGACTTAACGAGGCCTTTCTGGGATAAATAAGGGATTTTTTTGCTGCTATTATTATTACGTTACAAAAACTCTGTAAAGCAATCGATTTAATTTGATCATTGGACAGCCCATCTCTAACCTCAACCGACTCGCTCGCTCACAGAAAAGCCCGGTCCGCCGCTCGCCATGAAGATCCTGGACATCTGGGGCTTCAACGTGAACCTGGAGTGGAAGCTGCCGACCGACAACGGCAACTCGGAGATCACCGGCTACACGGTGCAGAAGGCCGACAAGAAGACGATGGTGAGGACCAATCTGAGGCCTCTGTCGTCACCAGAAGCCCCCGGGACGACGTGGCATGATTTTTTGAAAACTCGTTTCTTTAGAACTGATTTTTATGTTTAGTTTGTTATCACCCTCCACCCCGCCCCGCACCTCCGACTTAGCACGCTTGGCTACGTACGGTGCGAAAGAAGTTGAACGTACATATGTACGTAGAGAAAATTAAATAAATGCTTAACAATACTTACCTGCTCATTGCCGCCAATATTATAAGCTGGATATGTCCTCCTCCTTCCCTCACCCTCCTTTCCCTACTGCCTCTTCCCCCCACTTCTCCATTCCCCAAGCCCCCAACCACCGGCTTCCGTTCTCGCCCCTAATAAATTAGCTGGTCATCGTCATGATCGTCCGTGTTCACTTTGAAGAAGGCCCATTTACCCAAACACGTTGTCTATTCGTGGCCCTGCAAGGCCACTGTGTAACTAACGAATGTGTTGAGGTTTCATAATCCATCGCTGTCCATGCTGGGAATTTATTCGATCGGCTCGGTTGCTGAAGAAACCAACTCCCACTGCAGCATGTAGAACAACCATCTTCACTCACCCGCTTCCGTTCCTCCTTTAAAACAACCCCCCAGCTCCTCTCCCTGCTACTGCTACTCCCTGCCCCTGCCCCAGCTATTACCAGGCCTACCACTACTCATTTCACTACCCCTACCACTACCCCTATCATTACCCCTACCCCAATCGCTTTCACTACCACAACCCCTATCACTACCGCTACCCCAACCCCTGTCACTACCCCAACCCCTATCACTAACACTACCCCAGCCCCTATCACTACCACAACCCCTATCACTACCCCAACCCCTATCACTACCCCAACCCCTATCACCACCCCAACCTCTACCACAACCCCTATCACTACCACAACCTCTACCACTACCACAACCTCTACCACTACCATAACCCCTACCACTACCACAACCCCTATCACCACCCCAACCCCTACCACTACCACAACCCCTATCACTACCACAACCCCTACCACTACCACAACCCCCATCACTAACCGCGACTGCTGCTCCCTGTCCTGGCCCCCCTGCTATGACCAGGTCTACTCCAACCCCTCCTTCACCACTCCCACCTGTTCTCTCCTCAATGTCACCACAACTACACCACCACCACCACCACCATTAACGACAACCATCATATCACGCGCAATTGTATAATTGTTGTAAAGCGCCTCGGAATAAGGGCGCTGATATGAATCTATGTAAGATGAGAATAATCTCCCTGCAAGAAGAGTTGCATTTCCCGGTCCGCCCTTGCCAATCGGCGCACTGCCGGCTTTCCGCCAAATCCTGACGCGGGAAAGTTACCCGCGTCTCTATCGGGACGCAGCCTCATCCGGACGCCACGTTCCGGCCTTTCTCTTGCCAAGAGGGGGCCTCAGTGCGGGCACTTGGTTTCGTCGGTGTGGCTTTCAGGATCATCGCTAGCTTTGGAAATCTACGCATCAGATGTATTTATACCCACGCACACATACACACAATGACAAATACCCGCCCCCCCCCCTCCCCCGTATAGCATGGTAGACCGTTGCGGCAAGTGCTGTTTGCGAACATCCATCTCAATGCTTAAAAGCTACCCACATAAGTAACGTCGCCCCCTGACTGCGAAAACATGGCAGGTCCCTCCTGAAAAATAGTCTTGAGACTCGGTGAAGCTCTGCTGGGTAACGGGCGTCCTATATAAATCACCACAATAAACAACAGAGGGGAAAGAAAAAGGAAGGGATTTGAATCTGGACTTGACCTGGAGGCAGGAAGTCGACAGCACGGATCGCTGGGGGGGAGGCCGTTCCAGGCCACGGGGTCGGCAGGGGAGAAGGAGCGACGGTTGACTTGGGGCTTTCGGGGTCTGCGTCCGCAGGAGTGGTTCACCATGGTGGAGCACTACCGGCGGACGAGCTACACGGCCTCCGACCTCATCATGGGCAACGACTACTTCTTCCGCGTCTTCGCCGAGAACATGTGCGGCCTGAGCGAAGAGGCTGGCAACACCAAGAACAGCGCCTACATCCAGAAGACCGGTGGGCATGCACGCAAACACGCACACGAAAGATAAAGATCTCCCCGTATCGCCTTTAGCGGGCTGTTGGGGAAAGCGCTTTGGGCGAGCACCTATGAAGGCCGCAACGGCGTCGCGCCCGGGCCGCCTCTGTCTCGACCCTGGTATACAGGAGGCCGTGGGTTCGATCCCGAACCCGGGGACGCCTGCACATTTGGAGTTTGCATGCATTCTTCGTGGTCACGTGGATTTTTCCCCCGGTTTTATCCCTCCACGTTTAGGAACATGCACTGAGAGTATTTGGCTGCTAGACATTTTCACGTGATAAGCCACTTCGTTGGGCTATTATTTGTGGCCAGGTCGCTTCTGAAAACGAGTTACATAGCTCAGTAGTGGGCCTTACCTGGTAAAATAAAAAGTTTGGTTCAATTTTCAGGTTTGCACCTCACCACATTCACAGTTTCAGAATGTGAATTTATCCTGGAGAAATCCGATTAACTACAAGGGTCTTTTTCACAGATGTCCAATTTATCGAGGCATGCGCAGTCGTACCATTGGCACTTATTATTATTATCATCATTAGTATAATTGTTCCATTAGCCCCCTGAATCACTCGGACACGTTAACAGCCATACGACAAGACATGAAGCTCTCATTTGCCAATAGGCCAGTGTCGCCCGCAGAAGTTTGGGTTGACAGCGCCACGTGGCGTCTGCGGGGTCCCGGTAACGGGAGATGGAGGAATTCGCTGTTGCTTTTCAAATTCTTTCGGGCCGCGGCTTTGCACGACGAACCTGTCCGCGCCGGCGCAACGGATCGCGACAGATGCGGCGGCGCGGGAGATCGGATTCGGCGGATCCGATGCCGCCGACGCCGCCGCCGCCGCATTCCTCCGCCGTTCGTTTTCAAAGAGACGCGCAACTTTCCCTCGAAATGAATTTACGTCCAAGTTAAGAGCGGAGACGCACGTGTGGTACTCGTTTCGAACGAGCTTATCATCTTTAAATCGTTCTAAATCGGCAGCAAGGCGCGCAAAGGATGAGGGCATTTTGCAAAATGGAATATAGGTCTTTGTTTTTATTTGGCCCATTTCTAAAACCACTCCAACCGGCTCTCTCGTCCGCCTCTTTATTCCATCTGTTTTGATTCCCGTTTCCACCCGCGACAGCCGTCATCGGCTCGCGCCTTCTGCCCTTTCCACTTGTGTCCCCCTCCGTCAGTCGACCTGTCGCATTGAGACTGCTGCATGAACCTATAGTGGTGCCGTGTACTCCCTGCACTGAGTCAATTGACGGCAATTCTGCCGCTTGTGGCGGATGTTCGAAGTTCAAACCCCTCCGCTGCCCACTCCCCGTCCAGCTGCCCTGGTTAATGCCGTTAGTGGTGCGTCGTGCGTAAAGACACCGCGTACGCTTCGCAGTGCACGCCAGATATTCCCGTGCGTGACGTCAGTTCGAGAGCTCGCAGGTGGACGTGCGCGCCCACTCCGCTGCCCACGCTTTCCACATCTGATCGATTATCTGCAAATCACTTAATTGAGGAAAAACACGCACGTACAGCAAACCGCCTGTGGATGAATGCCCACCCCGCAGGGCCGGTGGCGGCGGTTGGAGTTTGCCCCGGGTGAGACTACCGCAGGCGGGTGCTACTGCGTGGGTGTCAGAGCGCCGACGCTAACGGCGATGGCCCACGCGTGCATGCGTGCGCGTGTGGTAGGCTCGACGTACAAGCGGCCGCCCTACCAGGAGCACGACTTCATGGAGGCACCCAAGTTCACGCACCCCCTCGTCGACCTCGTCGCCGTCGCCGGCTACAACGCCACGCTCAGCTGCTGCATCCGCGGGAACCCGCGGGTACGACGCGAGTCGGGGGCTCGAGTTCTGTGGGCGGGCACGGGGACACTGGCGAGCGCGCAGCGATGGCATTGCGTTGTGGCCGAAACGTCGTGAGAATTGTATTTTATTACATGACTTTACCGAAAGAACCAAGAAGATGAATCCCTGCAGTCACGAAAGCTTTAAATCGAAAGATGGCAGTTTGGCAACCCACAGGGTGCAAGTGTGCCGAGTGGCTCTGGCAATTCGATGGGTGGCCACTGATATGTTGAGATGAAGTGGGGGGTGGCGGGGGAGGGGGATGTCCACCGGCGGAGATGGGGGGGCGACGAGATCGGATTGGGGGGAGAAAGTACACGTGCATTAGAGGGACGTCATGCCGACCGTGAACCGATGTGGAGCGCGCAGCTTGGGCGAGGCACACGGTTGCTCGGAGGGGCGATGTGTCACTGGTCGAGACTCATTACGGAGCGGCAGCCAAAGGGGGGGTGATGAGTGTGCCCGAGATCGGCTCGTGTGCAGGAGGAGCTGGACGGATTGTCACATCGCTAGCCTGTGAGGGATGGCTACAACTTTGGGAGGCTTTCATCTAGCAGTGGACAAATGTTGGGTGAATGTGTAATCCGTTGGTTGTGTCGCTCTCGATATGGCTGGCTGTCCGAGTTTCCGGCTTTAACAACTGAACCATTGGAATCTTAAAACTGACATAGTCTGGCTTTAGTGAGTCGTGGGTGGGTGGGCACGCGGGTGCATGGGTGGCTGGGTGGGTAGGTGGGTGCATGAGTAGGTGGGAGCATGCATGGGGGTGAGTGTGTGGGTGGATGCGTGGGTGGGTGGGTGGCGAGCGAGTGGGTGGGTGGATGCGTGAGTGGGTGGGTTCGTGGGTGCATGGGCAGGTGTGGGTGGGTGGATGCGTGGGTGGGTGGGTTCGTGGGTGCATGGGCAGGTGGGGGTGGGGTCACGCATGGATGAGTGTGGGTGGATGAGTGGGTGGGTGGATGCGTGGGTGGGTGGGTGGCGGGTGAGTGGGTGGGTGGGTACGTGCGTAGGTGGGAGGCAGTTCACGTGGACGACGCAGACTGGCACCGCCGCGGAGGGCGGAGGAGGGCGTGGGAGAGGGCAAAGGAGCCGCAGCTCAAGAAGGAAACTTTCGTCGTATCTGATGGCCGTGGAGACAGGCGCAGCCCAGGCGCTTGCATCGTCTCTCGCACGCTGCGCAGGCAGCAGGAGCTCGGCCTGCGAAGTGCGACCGGCTCCGGCTCTGAGAGATCCGCACTCCCCCACTCTGTCTCATTTCATTGGCAGAGCTACGCCGGGAACCACAGTGTCGTTTGACCCGTTGACGTTCTCGCAAAAGTAGGCTACGGGCAACGTGACTTAGAATAAGAACGTCGGTTATTTACCCAGGAAAAGCTCGCCGAGGCTCAACACTTTTTACCCAGGAGGGTCCTGCTACTTTGCGATGTTTAGGCCAATTTTATTTATCGGCGTTTAGCTTCGTGTGGGAGGAGACCGGAGAATTTGGTCCATGCGCAGACACGACCCTGCGTGTGGAAGCCACAGAACATAGGGAGAGCGTGACGAATCTTTATACGTTTCCAGCTGAGAAGGGACAGCCATAGGCAGAAGAGAAAGGTTTTGAGCATGGATTTGATCGGAGCCAGGGATTTGGGAGCACACGTCGTCAGTGTGGAGGAAGATCCAGACCAAGTGGTAGCAGCAGAGAAGAAGCAACATCCCATTGAGGTGTTTGAGAGAATTCCTTGTGACTGGAGCAGAGAGTACATGGAGGGGAGTAGAGTGACATGAGAGTGGGAAGAGGTAGGAGAGTCTGTGGTGGGGAGCAGAGTGGGATGAGATGTAGGAGAGATGTAGGAGAGTCTGTGGGGGGAGCAGAGTGGGATGAGATGGGAGTGGGTGGAGGGGAGTAGAGTGAGATGAGATGTAGGAGAGTGGGTGGAGGGAGTAGAGTGAGATGAGATGTAGGAGAGTGGGTGGAGGGAGTAGAGTGAGATGAGAGGTAGGAGAGTGCGTGGAGGGGAGTAGAGTGAGATGACAGAGGGGAGATGTAGGAGAGTGGTGGAGGGAGTAGGAGAGTCTATGGTGGGGAGCAGAGTGGGATGAGATGTAGGAGAGTGGGTGGAGGGGAACAGAGTGAGATGAGATGTAGGAGAGTGGGTGGAGGGAGTAGAGTGAGATGACAGAGGGGAGAAGTAGGAGAGTGTGTGGTGGGGAGTAGAGTGAGATGACAGAGAGAGTGGGTGGAGGGGAGTAGAGTGAGATGACAGGGGATAGGTAGGAGAGTGCGTGGTGGAGGGGAGTAGAGTGAGAGGGGTATGTAGCGATAACTCAATGCAGCATCTTGAACGTAATCATGTACAAGTGGGAAATCTGCGTTGGAAGTGACGGAGGTGGAAGCACAGAGCAAGGGAAACCTCACTCCCATCATCATTAACACTGCCTATCGCCACACACGCGTCACCCCGCAGCTGAACACAGCGTACATTTTTGCGATAAGACAGTGTTAATGGTGATAGGCGTGGGGTGTTTACGATGGGTCTTGAGTGGTTGTGGTGGTGGTGGTGGAGGGGTACGTTTACAAGCTCCTGTCGCGCCGAGCGGAGGCCGGTTATTCGATTTTGGAAACTTTGCTCGGATCGCGGCTGTGGCCGGGAGAAGAGGGCGCAGGAAGGGTAGAAGGACGTGGGGGACGTTTTCTTCCATTGCCAGGGGCAGACCCATTGCTTTATGGTGGTGCCGCGGTGGCGAGATGCTATACGGGAGACATCTTGGCTTCGATCCTGACGCCTGTATATTTGGAGTTTGCATGTCTCTCATCCCCGTGGTCGCGTGGATTTTTCTCCGTGTCCTCCGGTTTTTCCCCATCATTTAGAATCAATGTGTGTTTTAGAGTATCTGGCTGCTATGAATATCCACATCACAATAAGTCAATTCGTGCAGCTATCATTTGTGGTCAGGTCGCTTCTGAAGAAGAGCTATATAGCTCAGTGCGCTTTACTTGTTTGAAAATACAAATGTTTAAGGTTTGGTTTTTAATTTCTCACCGAAAATATTCCCCTGTCGCATGCGCAGACGAGAGTATGTGGCACGTGGCCAGTTGCCACAGCCATAACGGGAGATGGATAATGGATGTGGTGGGTGATATTGTGGTTTTAAACAGTCAGCCGTTTTGGTAAACAAAATTGGTGGCATATTTCTAATTTTCGAAGTATATCAAATGTAATATTCGTCAAATATGACTCATTCATTTCTTTAAACAACAAATACGCTCATTACTAATTCTGAGAAACGTTCTCGGACAGCGATTGTCCACCTCTGGTTGACCGGCGGGATGGTCACCGTGAACTCTCACACGCGATGTTTCGCGGGCCACTGTGCATCGCTAATTTATTTTTTATAAATCTTGTTGCTGCCGCTGGTGCTGCACCCTTTATTAAAACACATTCCTGCGGAGGGAGCTGGTAGGAACGTTGGGTTGCTCGGTCAATGGCCAGGGTCAACGGCGGCGTGGTGTATTCCGCAAATGTGGCCGACTGTGAGGGCGGGCACAAGCCGGAGTGAGTAGGTTAAACGTTTAAGGGCACCACGGGGTGACCAGCCCCTCCCCACCCAGCCCCACCCTTCCCACCCCCCACCCAGCCCCATCCTCCCCACCCAGCCCCTCCCCACCCAGCCCCTCCCCACCCTCCCCTCCCTCCCTCCCACGCAGCCCCTCCCCACCTACGACGACCGCCAGGCCGCGCGTCCTCCCGCTTGCATCGCCGCTCGGAGTGTCAGCGGCCGCCACCGCTGACATCTGCTGAGGCCTCGAACCTCCTGCCGCAAGGACGGGGGGATCCGTGCCCCTTTCACGCTTCGGCCGTTACGATTACGCCGGGGAAATTCCGAAGCAACTCCCGGCGCGGCTCCGCGTCGCCGGAGAAGGGGGGTGGGGGATGGCTCAGCTGTCGCGCCGAATCGGGAGCGCTCCGAGGGAGATTTAGGGATTTGTCGAACATGCCTCGGCTAAACCTCGCCGGCAAACAAATTGGCACGTCAGCGCACGCTGTAATATAAACGACTCCAAAAATCGCCGTCGTCGCGTCCGTCGTTAGAAAACCACCTCGTGATGGGAGAATTTACAGTGAGGCTAGAGTTTTGGTCCAGAATCCCCTTCTCTTTTTATTATTATCATCATCATCATCAATCACCCCTATCATAAGTCATTATCAATCCACTGCTGGATAAAGGTCTCACCAAAGCCGTTGCACTGCCAGACATGTGACCGATGTGGAAGAGCAGGCCAACGTAGACCCTCTAGAGGGGCTCTCTGCAACTCTGTCTAGTGGAAGCCCTTCTGCCAGCAGCAGGGGCGTTAGCCAGCATTTGCAGGGGCTGCACCTCTACCTCTTAAAGCACCCGGATGCCACCGCATCTCACGATGCTCAACAAAACAAGTGGCAACGTGACCAAGAATGTATCGCGGAAGAAAGGAGATGTGTAAGGGTTGACTCGGCCCATCATCACCCCTGCAGGGGCCGATACAATTAATCACCAGTTTGTGCGGAAGTCAACAATGGGTTTGTCCTGTGGATAGACTCGTCCTCGTCCTTGGCCAGAGGAACATGGAATTTTAACCGTTGTCTCGGGGCCGTAGACGGGCGGTTAACAGCGCTCCTCAGTGCTCTTCGGAGCAGGAGTTCACTGTGGCGTCGTCTCCTGCGATTGGTCAACGGAAGGTGTTCGTGCAGAAGGTTGTGCGTACGGAAGGTTGTGCGTACGGAGGAGCCACGGAGAGGCGTGAAGGGGGGGAGATCAGTGTCGAAACGCTCCACCTTTTTGCCTTCGTCGGCGATGGAGATGCTGTGCCGTGAATTATTTTTTTTCTCATCATCATCATCATCCTCCTCCTAAAAATGGACCACAAAAGAGCGTTCGTGAACACGCTCCGACTCGTGTCACCGTAACCTCCGGAGCATAAAGACGCTTTGGAAAGTAAGACCCTCCCCCCACTCCTCCACCCCCCCCGAACTTGCGCCCGGTGTCGACAGCGCGATACAATTCTGGTGGCGCACGCACGCAGCTACCAGACGCACGACCACCCTTCCACTTTACATTCCAGCATGAAAAAGAAATGCATATTTTACAACCCGGAGTAATATGGTAATTACACAGCAAGACGTGTGCGCGTGTGTGTAATTACCGTGGCTTTCGGACACAAACGCCGCAAAAACAAGACTCCACTGAACAAAGCATGTAAATCACATACGGGATGATACTAAACATACGGCACCGCGTGTATTTCAATACAGTAATACCGTCGTCACCTCCGATGACCGTCTGGAATGCTCTTCCTTCCGATATTAGGAAGCCGCTGGAGCTACGCACTTCTACATCATCATCATCTAGATTGAAAAACTAATTTCTTTAGAACTGCTTTTTGTGGTTAGTTTGTTGTCCTTCCCCCCCACACGTCCGATGAGCTCGTTTGGCTACGTACGGCGCGAAAGAAGTTCAACACACAAGCTGTGTACGTACGTCAGCCATTGTCTATCCACTGCTGGGTGAAACCCAAGCTGAGCCGAACGCTCTCCGTCTCGGTCCGGCGATGGGGTGGTTGGCCCGTGAAACTGATCACCATCACCATCAACACCTCGGGGGCGGTTATTGTTTCCCTCCTTCGACTGCCATTCCGTCACCAGCCTCGTACACCGGCCGTTCGTAACCTCCTCGTGACGCGCCCTGCCAAGGCCCATGCTCTCTACTTAACACACAACGTCATCTGCTCTGCACGATTTATATTTAAGCAAATTAGTCTTTACTCTTTGGTTCTTTCGGTAAAGTCACTTGGGTATAAAATAAAATAAATCACCGACGTGACTTTACCGAAAGAACCAAAGAGTTTGAATTCCTGCAGTCACGAAAGCTTAAAATCAAGATTAAATTACTCTTACTCGGTGCACGTTTAAGAGTTTTAAATAGATTGCGTATTGTATAATTACCATTCGGTGACGCCATAATTATTTCAACTCGTACGTATTATTTTCCGGCTCTCTCGCCGTTACGGTGATGAGAGTTTGTAGTTATATAACTCACCTACAGGACCGCGTAGATAGAACGCGTGTTTATTTTTACCTGCTGTGATTTGTATATGCAAGGCTTTCTATTCTGGGTGTGCGCGTCTGGGCGGTGTGTACGGATGCCTCGGTGGTGTCACGGTTATCGCTCTGCCCTACGAAGCCGGCTGGCCCGAGTTCGATTCCCGCTCACGGCCAACGCCAGCGACGATTATCTGAACCCCCCCCTAGGTCGACTCAGCCTCAAATTTGTACCTCGTGTGGTGTGTAAAACATCGCTACTAGGGAAACAAAGGCGGCCAGGCTTGGTGCTGGCCACCCACCCCCTCGTGTGCCGTTCCGGCCTTCACAGGTGCTCGCTAACAGCACTTGTCCCAACATTCTGTGAAGGCTATATGGGGGATGTTTGTCTACCGTCATCTCCTCCTTCTGCACCACCACCATCATGATATGCCACTTGCCACCACCACCACGTCCTTTTTCTCGACCGTAACTACCACCCCCGTTCACCTTCACCACCACCATCACCACCACCATTACCCCTGCCTACTACTACCACCATCACCACAACCACCACCCCTGTCCACCATCATCAAAACTACAACCGCCACCACTTCCCCCACCATCAACCTCTGCCAACACCACCTCCTCGTCAACCTCATCCACCAACCACCACTCCCTGTTCCCCTTCCTCCCCCCTCCCATCCCCCTTCACCTCTCCCGGCAGCCCAAGATCATATGGTTCAAGAACAAGGTGAACCTGCAGGAGGACCCGCGCTACCGCATGTTCGGGCACCAGGGCGTGTGCACGCTGGAGATCCGCAAGCCCGGCCCGTACGACGGCGGCGTCTACACCTGCCGCGCCATCAACTCGCTCGGGGAGGCCGAGGCCGAGTGCAAGCTGGAGGTCAAAGGTGAGGCGGAGCTGTGGCGGTGGTGGCGTCTGGGAGATGTTCGCTCGCGTGGTTGGAACTCCGCGGGAGGGGGGCGGTGGAGAACGGTCGATGGTTTCGGCGTCTTCGGGAGAGGGGGGCGGCGAGGGGTTTGCTGAGCGTGAGCTGGATGTGTGGGGGCCGGTGTTGCCATTGTCGTCGTCATTGTCATCGTCATCACATTATCAGTCATCGTCGCCGTCGTCGTCATGGTCATCATTATCATCACTGTCATCATCGTCATGACCGTTATATCTACTGTCATCGTCATCACCGTCGTCGCCTTCACCATCGCCAGCATCGTAATTGTCACTGCTGTCATAATCGCCATCATCCTTACCGTCATCATCACCATCATCGTCATCATGGTCGTCGTCATCATCATCACTGTGTTGTGATATGACTTATTGTCTTATGTACCGCTGTTATTGATGTTTAACGCTGCATTTCTACCTGACAGCCTTAACGATCACAACTTAATGGAATAACTCTCAAGCACATTCCTTTGCTGATGTCTCTGTCCATGATGTTTTGCACCTGCTCTCGTCATCACGCGATGCGACAAAGACTCCGTTTACAGCTCCCGCAGAGGAGGTCACGACAAACCCTGTGTTCGTGAACAACCCGCAGAACGAGATACCACAGAACTACTTCTTAGAGCCCTTCACTTGACCCTTTTTTCCCACACTAGGCACTTCATCACGTACCCCGCTATGTCGACACGCAACATCCAGAATGTTTCCTTCCCAGGGCGAGATTGCAGCCAAGTCGAGGGCAGCACCGATTATTTTTTTTTCCGCGCCGCTAACTTTTTATTTCACGTACTCATTGGTGACCGGGCTGAGGCTGCCACTTGTCTTGCTGTGGAGAACCGGTTTGATCGTGAAAACCCCACACGCACGTCAACAACACTGCCTGAACGAGGGGAAAAAACTATATAATCGGCAAAGTTTTGGGAAATGGGTGCAATGCAGAAGGGTCGTTTCCCAAAACGTCGCTCATTTCATACATTATTTTTGTTATTCTTTTAAAGCCGCGTTGCTGACGAGTGTGTGTAGTTGTTAATCTTCCCTATGCACCGCTGACAACTCAGCAGCAGCACCGCCATGACCAAATCATGAATCAGTTTAGCCCACGGGTGGATAGATCCTGGATTCGAACTCGAACTCTGACCCCGGGTCCGCCTGGCCTCATCTCGGGCAACGTTTGCGTAACGCCCGCCCCGTGGATGGCGTGGTGCCGGTACCGCTCTCTGCCTCGCATCCGCGCCTGCGGGTGACAACGGGCAGACTTACTGATGAGATCTTGATTTGAAGCTTTCGTGACTGCAGGAATCCATACTCTTTGGCTCTTTCGGTAAAGTCACGTGGGTAGAAATAAAACAATAAGACATCGCGGCTATCGCGATTTTCACCTGAAGACGGGCGCTTGTGTTGCGTTCGAAACGACGTGATTTATTTGGTTTCATTTCTACCTAGGCGACTTTAGCGAGTTACTGATGAGAGTTTCAGTGGCACAGCCGAGAGGCACTGCCCTGTGGGCCAGTGCTGGCCGTGGCCCGGCCTGTTCCCCCAGGGTCGAGATGTGTGCATCGTGCGCGGCCCGGTGTGTCAGTCGGGCACTTCGTAGGAGGTGCTCGTTGACGGCACTTCGCCCCAACGCGATGCCCCCCACCCCCCTTCCCTTACCCCTTCATCATCGGCATGCTCTATTGATGCCGCTAAGGTTCCAATGCAGCACATCTCCAGTGGCCAGAACAAAGGGGCGTCTGAGATCGTAACAAGGGAATCGCTGTCACTCGCAACAAGGGAATCTTCGTCGTCGTTGTCACTCAGTAAAGACGCAGTTGCAGATCCTGTTGCGTGGTGCTCCGGCGTGTGAATGCGCGTGCGTACCCGACTGCGCACTCGTGATAAACCTCGGCGATAAGAGTTGCGCGTTTATAAATGCCTTACTTACTAAATACAACGTGCAGAAACGATGCGGAAGACAGTATATGCGGACAAAAATATATATTTTTTTAAATCAAAGTTGCCGAACAACGGGACCAAGGGGCCCAATACGGCGTGTGGCCAGCAAAAGACAAAACCGAGGGGCTAGAAACGGTGCTCCACACCACGCTCACTTCCTTCTGTCCACTGCATTTGAGCTCTCCGGACGCTGTCTGAAAATCACGTGGACACGTGGACATACCACGTCTTTAATATTGTTTAATTAAGCAAGACATTGATTCGTCGTGGGTGCATTCATTTTTTTTTCGGATGAGCTGTTCCACAATGCCCATGCCAATAATTAGCGGCGGTAATCTGGAGATAAATACATTTGGTATCTGCGCAATTCTTATAGTACAAAGGCTATCATCACAAGATGATAGCCTTTGGCACACAGAAGGTCGATCCCGGACCCTGACGATGCCTGTTGTATATTTGTAGTCCGTGCTCTCTCTCTCTCTCCCCGTGGCAGTTGCGTGGATTTTTTTCCCTGGGGGCCTCCGGTTTTGCCCTCCACATTTAGAAACAACACGCGGTTATTATTATTTTGGCCGCTACTATAAATCCCCAAATGCGATGGTGATGATATCGCCACTATTGACGAGCTATCAACGAGTGGCCCAGATTGCCTCTGAAAACAAGATCTAATAGCTCACCGGCGGTTGACCCGGTGAATAAAATAGTTTAGTGTTGTTGTTGTTTCTGCTTTGTAAGCATTAACAAGAACGAGTGCCACCTTGGGCCGCCTTGCAGAGCTGGAGGCGCCCACTTTGGCAACGGCAGCAGCAGGGCACACGCTGTCCTGGCCACAATGACTCCGGCGTTGATCTCCCCGGCGGGTCGCTTGTTGACAGCCGCGATGCTTTGCGCGACACGTTCCGGGAGCTGCGATCTAAAAATACACCCCTCTCGCTACCTTTGCGGTGGTGCGCGTTTGTTCGATGCAGCGCACGCACGCACAGGGATATTCGTGGCGCGCTCTGTATCGTTGAATGCAATGTATTGAAGATCGGCTGAGTGGACGTTGTTATATAACGATTATCTCACTGGCAAGCAGCGATTAATCTTAGCCGGGGCAGTCCAGTACGACGTGCGAAAGGGATTATTTTGGGGCGCCGCGTCCACGTGGCCTTGTTTTGTCCTGACGCCGCTCTAAAAGGCGTGCGATGCTGTGCCTCTCCACGCAGGCATAGATGCTGCAACGATATGGGATTAAGCGGATTATTGTGGAGAGGCTCACCTTGTGCTCCTTCGTGATAGTGCCTCACTCCCAAACAATCCCTGCGCTATAACCCCGTCGGCCTAGCATCGTTCCGGAAAACACCGAGCGAGAAAGTGAGCGCCGGTTTAGAAGGGAGAGTAAAAGGAGGGGGAGCTGGAAACACATAAGTACGGCAAAACGACAGCAGCGACAACGGTTGAAAGTGACATCTTTTAATCGCCATCGCTACCGTGAGCCCCCGGGATGACGACCCACCCCCCCAAGACGTCGCTGTCTCGCTCGCTCCGACGACGCGATGATTGTCCAGCGCCTGCAGCACGAGCCGATCCCATCTCCTGGGAAAGCCAGAGGGGAACGCAACCTCGAGTCGGGCACCACGCATGCAGCGCGCGCACAGGGAAGTTCGCTAAGGGACAAAATGATACAGAAACCTGAAACAATAATTGAAAATAATTTTAAACGTCGTGGTTTTTGTTTTAATTAAATTTTTTTTATCTACGTGACTTTACCGAAAGAACCAAAGAAGAATAATAATAATTTAAAACGTCACTGCAGCCATCCGGGCCATGTTCGTTAACCCTTGAGCCGATGGTTCCCAAAATGCCTCATTGTGACCAACGAGAGTGAGGAATGCTGTCAATAATTGTCTTCGTTTAATCTCCAAATGAGAGCTACTGCACGATGGCCAGCGTGTTGTCTTGGGAAGAGGCCGCAGTATGCTTGGCAGGGAACATCTTTTCAGGCGGGATTAAAAAAAAAACCCTAATGTGAGATGAAACATCCATGGAAGTGCAATTAGAATCGAGGCAGCTTTCCGGCCACGGTGGGACACTGCCTGTATGTGGACACTGCCTGTATGTGGACACTGCCTGTATGTGGACACTGCACGAATGGCAACACGCTGTCCATATGGGGTGACACTGTCGACTCCGGCAGTATTTGCCACCCCGGGGTGACAAATACTGCCCCCCCCCCCTCCTGACTCGTGCACTAATTTATTGAAACACGTGACGGGTCAAGATCCGGGTTGGCCGGAGGGATAGTGTTGTGTGTGGGGAGGGTGGGGGTGGGGGGGGATGTGCGTCAACTTGCTAAGTGGCCGCTAAAGCGCATTGGCCGAGGCTGCAGTTGTTCGACGTGGTCTATCTGTTTGGGCGCCGCGTGTGGCGCGCATTCCTTACCTTGCATGGGCGTCCCCGCGGGCAGCCTTGGTGCCACTCCGGACCTCGGCGTAAACGTCGGGATAAAAGGGGACGCCGAGAATAGAAGGTGCGTGCGTGCGCGCAGTTTCCGTGCCCCGCGTCTGTGCGAGTGTGCCGTCACCGGACTCTCCGGGGGGGACCCTGACGACTTTGTCTCCTCCGAGGCCAGATCACCTTCACTTGCCTCCCCCCACCTTTAAGCCGGGTCCACACCTGAGTGATCAGTTGCACGTGGCAACTCTGTTGCGTGCGTACGTGTGGACGTCTCCGCAACCGGTTGCTCGCAGCCGAAGCGGATTCTACGTCCAAGCGTCGATCCGCTCGACGATGACTACCGATGTGTTTCATCACGTGACAAATTTACGACATTGACTGGTTTATTAAATCCTGAACCTGCTGTTTAATGTCCTTGTTTTGCGTGAATACTGGCGCAGGTGTGGACAAAGCAGTTGCAGGCGATGATTAGGTTTGCGGCAGATTCACTTTCCCAAATGCCTTGACCCCCCCCTTCCCCCAAAGGTGATGGAGGCATCCGAGGTGTCATGTATCGAGAGCAGATATGGAATATTAATCGATTTTGTTGTTGTACGTGCCGGCCTGTTGTATGCTGGGTAATATAATTATCGAGTTATTCACAGGTGTAGATCGGCGTGGTGCTCGTATGTTAACAATAATGGGATGTCGCTACGTCGTAATTTCGTGCTGTGTTTGTTCGTCGCGGGTAATATAATTGTAAAACGCGCAATGAAGCGGGACTGAGACCAATCTAATCACAGGCGGCTGAAACGTGGATCCGAACCACAGGCTCTCAGGATTATCCAGCTCGGCGCCTGACCCTCCGTGTCACCCGAACGCCCTCGGGTCACGAATCCTTCAAATGGCCCATGTCCTCGGCACGCTGTCCATTTCCCCATCGCGCCGTTGGTGCTACCGGCACCACGCAATCCACGGGCCGGCCGTCACGCAAACGTTGACCGAGATGAGGCCAGGCGGCCCGGGGGTCAGAGTCCTAACAAAGCGCCTCCTGTCGATGCGGTCCTAACTGGCCACGTCTCCGTGCCCCCCCCCCCCCCCTCGTCGGTCGCGATCTGCTCGTCCGTCTGCCACGATCGCGACGTCGTTCTGGACCAAACGTGGAGGGCGATTCGCGAGTTGTTGTGGTTGTTGTTGTTGATTTTTTTTTGTCGTGAGCCGAAATACGCGCTTTGTTTCTCGGACTCAAAGTCCTTCTAAGCTGTCACACTTCGTCCTTCCGAGTTTCCTTTGTCGTTGCGCGCAGCACGCGCCTGATGATTGCTAAACACGTCCCAACGTGCATACGCATACACACCAGGTCTCTCTCTGAATTTCAATCGGTGCTCTCCATATCGCCTGGGACATGGACGCACACACAAATATACAGTAGCTGTACACGCTTACATAAGCGCACGTACGCCCACTAGCACACACGTGCACACACACGTAGACACACATGTACAAAGACAAATATCCCCCGTATAGCCTTAACAGACTGTTGAATCAACACGTACACACAATGCATATCTCGCCTCGGAATTACTACGTAGACACGTACACACAAGATCGACCGACTGCTGACGAATGCTACAGTTCGGCAATCATCAGGCGTGTGCACGAGTGTGATGGCTTTGTTTATATTTGAAAGGGGGGGGGGGGGGGTGTGGTGAATTGGTCATCATCGGAGAGGCACCCCCGAGGTTGGCCGCGATGAAAGGCAGCTGGGAAACGCAGAAACGTTCCGTGATTGTGTTGCACAATCGGCGTAGGAAACGAGCAAACGCGTTGCCGGCGGTGGTTCTGTGCACACAGGACTGGCGCGACGTGTCTCTTCCCGTACCTTGACTCCTGCGTAATTGCATACAAATGCGACGTTTGTATACAACGTGGTGTTCTTGGAAAGGTCGTCCATTCTTTGCTATCGTCGCAAACACTGTCTTTCATAGCTTACCAAATGTGTCGAAGCAAATTATTTTGGCAATAGCTCGTCTTCGGATCAATAACCTTTTTTAACGTAAAATAACCAAATATTTACCTTAATTACCCCAATCAGGCCTCGTTTAAGTCCCAAGGCACTAATTGGCTGTGGCAACTGGTCACGTGATGCCTACTCCCGTCTGCACATGCGGTGATGACTTAACAACTAAATTGTAAACATTTTTTTTTATTTAAACCAGGTAAGGCTCACTGAGCTTATAAAGCTCTTTTTTTCCAGAAGCGACCTGACTAAAAATGATAGCTCAAGGAAGCGGCTCATCGCCACGTGGAAAATCATAGCAGCCAAAATACTCTCGTCATGCCGTGTTCCTAAAGGTGGAGGAAAAACCAGAGGCACCGGAGAAAATTCCACGCGACCAAACATACAGCAGGCGTCAGGGTCGGAATCGAACGCACGACCTCCTGTATACCTGTATACCAGGCGAGGTAGTTAACATCTCGGCACCCTGAGCAGGTGGTAGTAGTAGCAGTGAACTCGAAATCACGTCAATTCCCGACTACATTTGGTGCGTACGTTTATATCCCGTCATGCAGCAGGGTTTGTTCGCTGTCATAGCCGTGCGAAAATATGTTGTGACCTGTGCTTTTCATTCCACAGCTAAAACACGAACCGCAACACACGCACACACACACGCAATTGACAGTGATGATATGCTGTATGTTTTAATATACACGTACAGATGCTGCAGTGTATTGTGGTAGGCACATGCATTTCGATTGCCTATGCATTCCCCATTGGCTGGTGATGCATTGCCGACGGTGTGTGTGCTGTGACAAACGTATTCTTAGGTTTTTTCGGTAAAGTAACGTAGGTAAAAAATTAAAATTAATAAAAGTAAAATAAAATTAAAATAAAATAAAAACCACGACGTTTCGGAGGCAACACAAGCTTCCGTCTTCAGGTGGAACCGTCACAGCACGATAGCTGTATCACTTGATTTTATTAATTTTATTTTTATTTTACTTTAAATTTTTATTTTTTACCTACGTGACTTTACCGAAAAACCCTAAGAATATGAATCCTTGCAGTCACGAAAGCTTCAAATCTAGAATGTGACAAACGTGTCAACGTGGAGACTGAATGGGCAGTGGCAGGGACGCTTGGCTTGGCTGCATTGAAGGCAGAACTCGTCACCGTATTCTCCGTGGCGCTGGCTGCGGTGTGTAAAGACGCACTCCAAATCATTGTGCCCCGGTGCCAGCAGGGTTGATCTCGGCTCTTGCGCGCGTCCACGGATTGTTCTGACGGCACGCCCGTTGACTCTTGCGAGCGAGAGTCGAACGCGTTCGATTCTCGCTCTGCTTGATTCGATGCGTGCCTGTGTCTCGAGGAGAATCTACGCAACGAGCGTGAGAGACGAGTTCGATCGATGATTTGACGAATCTTTACCTGCCGAGGAATCTGCGTTCACACTATTTTGGACCCATGAAGGTGATCGCTTTAAGTGACTCCCCCCCCACCCCGGTGTTAGTGAGCAGCAAAAAAATAATTGTGAAATTACAGAAGTTCCTCTACCCCCACCGTGCCCGTGCCAAGCCGCGATGCCCACACCCTGCCTATTCAGTGCGCTCTGCGCTGCGGGACTGTGATGTTCCCTCTCCCATGAGCTTTCGGGTCGCACCGTGCGTCGATTCGCAACGATGTCCGACGTTTCGCTCCACACGTGCCGGACGAAGACGCTCCCACCAGCAGCACGTGCGGCGCGAGCCGTCTGGCATTGCGCTTCCGAACAACGCCGTGGCACGACCCCGAAAGCTCATGGGAGAACTGCACGGCAGAGCCGTGGAAACCTACGCTGTGGTGATTGCTCGCTGACCATCTCAACATCTGCCTACCCCTACCCCTCTCCCCGCTCCCTTCCATCCGCCTCTGCAACTGCGACCATTCCTGCTCCGCCGTTGCCGCTCACCCGCTCGCAATCCCACTCCCCCGCCCGCCCGCCCGCCCGCTCGCTCGATTCATCGCCCGACTGCCCGCTCGCTCTCATCGCGCCGCCGTCCGTTCTGCACGACAGTGGCCCAGGAATTGGCGCGCGGCTAAGTGGCGCCGCGCGCACCACAAGGTAAGCGCTCGCACAACAACAATAACAACAAACACCCGTTTGGATTGACTGCATGATCTCGCGCGCGGGCACGCACGCAGATGTGACGCTGGGTAACTCGTCCGAGGTGCGATGAGCTCGAATGCGAACGATAAGTGTTGAGAGGACGTTTGTCCACGTTAGAATTGCGGACAGACAGCGTCTCCACAGTCACGCTCTGCTAAAATCAACCTATCGCTGCGCCACAAACCTAGGGGGGCCCTGAGCTCGACTCCCGGCTATGGCTCCCGTCAGTGGCAAGTGATATCCGAATCGGTTCTGGCCCTCCCCAAGTTTGACTCGGCCTTAAGTGAGCACCTGGTGTCGTACCGAAACGTCGGCACTCGGGAAGCGGTGGCACCTCACGTGCCGTGTCGGCCTTAGCAGGTGCTCGCCAACACAACCCCTGAAGTCTGAGAGGCTGCACAGGCGATCGTTATTTTGTGCATGTGACACCCACCTACTGGCCAGACGTGCACACAAGGGGAAGACCAGCGACGAGGTTTATGCGACATGCATAGAGCGTATGCAATGACAAACAACTGTAGGGCGCACATGGCTAGTAATAATAATGATGATGCCCTGTATTTACCCAGGAAAGCCCCACTGAGTGACAGAAATCATGTTCCGGAGGGTTCGGTTCCATTGGGAGATGTTCCGTCCAACCGCATTCACGACCCTTTTTGCTTCACGTGGGAGGAACGCCGAGTTATCCGGAGGATGAAGAAGAAAAAAACCCCGCGCACGAGGGGACAAGACTCAAAGATGCACGCGGATCGAATTCCACAATCGATTTTACCCGACCGCCGCCACCTCCCGCTGGCTACCTGTTCGCAGGCCCGCCCACCCACCCACCCACTCACCCACCCACTCACCCACCCACCCACTCACCCACTCACCCACCCACCCACTCACCCACTCACCCACCCACCCACTCACCCACCCACCCACTCACCCACTCACCCACCCACCCACTCACCCACTCACCCACCAACCCACCACCCACTCACCCACTCACCCACCCACCCACCCACCCACTCACCCACCCACCCACCCACTCACCCACTCACCCACCCACCCACTCACCCACTCACCCACCCACCCACCCACCCACCCACTCACCCACCCACCCACCCACTCACCCACTCACCCACCCACCCACTCACCCACCCACCCACCCACCCACTCACCCACCCACCCACCCACTCACCACCCACCCACCCACCCACTCACCCACTCACCCACCCACCCACTCACCCACCCACCCACCCACCCACCCACTCAGACACCCACCCACCCACCCACTCACCCACCCACCCACCCACCCACTCACCCACCCACCCACCCACTCAGCCACTCACCCACCCACCCACCCACTCACCCACCCACCCACCCACTCACCCACCCACCCACTCACCCACCCACTCACCCACTCACCCACCCACCCACCCACTCACCCACCCACCCACCCACCCCCCCACTCGCCCACCCACCCACTCACCCACTCACCCACCCACCCACCCACTCACCCACCCACCCACCCACTCACCCACCCACCCACTCACCCACCCACCCACTCACTCACTCACCCACCCACTCACCCACCCACCCACCCACCCACCCTCGCCTCCAAATCTCTGCGAGATCCACCAACCCTTGCCTCGGAAGCGCCGGGTCGCAGCGGCGCACGAACACCACCATCACCACCACCAAGCCCGACGAGGGTTGGGGCTTGACGAAGAACAAACTTGATCTTCTTGGTTCTTTCGGTAAAGTCACTTAGAAGGAAAATAATAAAATAATAAAAATAAAACATAATAAAATTATTCTCACGACGTTTCGGCCACAACGCAAGCAGCCGTCCTCAGGTGAAGAACAGGTCTGCTGATTCAGACGCTGTCATTCAGACACTGTCTTTCCGACAGACCTGTTCTTCACCTGAGGACGGCTGCTTGCGTTGTGGCCGAAACGTCGTGAGAATTATTTTATTCTTCTTGGTTGTTTCGGTAAAGTCACGTGACTTTACCGAAAGAACCAAGAAGACGAATCCCTGCAGTCACGAAAGCTTTAAATCGAACATTATTTTATGTTTTATTTTTATTATTTTATTATTTCCCTCCTACGTGACTTTACCGAAAGAACCAAGAAGATGAATCCCGGCAGTCACGAAAGCTTTAAATCGAAAGTTATTTTATTATGTTTTATTTTTATTATTTTATTATTTCCATTCTACGTGACTTTACCGAAAGAACCAAGAAGATGAATCCCTGCAGTCATGAAAGCTTTAAATCGAAAGTTAATTTATTATGTTTTATTTTTATTATTTTATTACTTCCCTTCTACGTGACTTTACCGAAAGAACCAAGAAGATTAATCCCTGCAGTCACGAAAGCTTTAAATCAAAAATTATTTTATTATGTTTTATTTTTATTATTTTATTATTTCCCTTCTACGTGACTTTACCGAAAGAACCAAGAAGATGAATCCCTGCAGTCACGAAACCTTTAAATCGAAAAACAAACTTGATGTGTAGGGGATGGGTGGTGGGTGGGGACCCACCCCCTCTCCAGCATTCTGACGGGAGCTGGGCGGCTGGCGCAAAGCCGCATCGCTCGGAGGCTGCACGCGGCGCGATAAATCCCACCGAGGGGTGCAGTTTATCCCACCAAATTGCCGATATATTAATTACATCGGATCGCGGTTCCAGCGGCACTCCCGAGTCAAAAATAGAGGGCTCATTAGGCCTGTCCGGCGACAGCCCCTCTTCCCCCAGCCACCTCCCCCGGTACAATGCCAAGCGCGGTACGGGGTTCGCTAACCGCGCTGGGTTGGCCTGCCGTCGCAAATAGAGACGTCGCATGACTACGGAAGGCTCGGTGCCAGGGCTGCGTCTTCCTCGGGTGTTCTGTCCCCACCGTGCGCTCTGCGAAATTCTCCCCCCCCCCCTCCTCTCTCTCTCTCCCCTAACGTCTGTGAGTGCACAAGGGGACATCGAGCCAAAATGTAATGGATCATCAGGCCCGAGTATAATCAGCGGCGCAAGGCTCGATATCGGACACGTGTCAATTATGTGTGGTATGCTTTAATGTGCGGGGTGTCGGGGGGCGGTGTGAGCAGCTCGCTGGCGCAGTGGTTAGTTTGCGTGCCGCGCTATGAACCTTGGCGACCCGGAGTTCGATCCCCGGCCATGGCTGAGAGTAGTGGCGAGCGATATCTGCGCCTTCCCCGTGGGTCGACTCAACCTTAAAGGATTATCTGGTACAGTTGCGTAAACATGAGCACTGGGGAGACAAAGGCGGAAAGACGTGGCGCTGGCTGCATCACTTTCTCCGGTCTTCATAGGTGCCACCCAGCCATCTCAATATGCTCAAGTCCGTTTCGCCGTTTCCAGTGCCACGGTCCGGTCCAACGTTTTGCTTTTGCCCTGCATCCTTCCGTTTGTCCGTCTGTCCCGTTCGTTTTTCCATCCCTCCGTTTGCCCGTCCGCCCCTCTGCCTCGCAGGCACGCCCAGCCTGCTCTCCCTCATGCTGCTGGGGATGCCGATCACCTACGGCGATCTCGACGATGACATCTTGACCCTGGAGTTGCCCGCCAAGCTGGGAGTCTGACGGGGGCAGATCCGCCCACGACGATGCTGCACCGCACAGCAAAAGAACCGCAACACACAGCCATGAAGGCCGACTTCACTTTTTGTATTTTACCCCAAAACCCCAGTTTTAATCCAGACACGCCCTAATTGATGCGTGAAAAATCCCATTATCTCTTTGCCTGAACGTTTGCACGGATAAGAGGAGTCAAATCGGAAGTGGCACAAAATACATCCGTTCATCCGAGCCTTTGCGTGGATGATTAGCCCAGATCTGTCCCCTGGAAGAAATTAATCCTTCCTGTCTTCGCCTAAATGGGGGGGATAAAAAGGAGCAAATGAATTCAGACAATGAGGATCTGTCCCTCGGAGGCACCCCCTCCCACCCACATTAAAGTGGATTCGAGAAGGGTCAACACTTAGGAAAGTGGTGTAGGTTATTATTCTGGTGAACCTTATCTACGCACGTATCAACTCGACTTGAATGCGTTTAAACTCAATGTTAATGGCACTACTTAAAATCGTTGATGTACTCGGAGAGTACCTGATTGGCTTTCAACTGCTGGATGAAGACCTTCACATTTTTCCAAAAGCATTCCATCCTGAACAAGGATGAGCCGGAGATGATTTTGGAAATGTGAATTTTGGTGATGCGGTGAATTTGATGATGCGGTGCGGAGGCTGTCTGTATTACCTAATCACGCTGCACTTATTGCCTTTATAGGACACACGTACACGTTTTCTTGAGACTCCTGTTTTTCTCAGATGCATGAGGAGGAGCCGGATGGCACAAACTATGCATGTTGACGCACGGTAGTGAACGTGGCACCCTCAAATTTTTTTTATTTTATTTAAGATAAATGTTCTTCTTTCTGGTAAGAAGGCAGAGCACGAGATGAAAAGGGAAGGACTGGGCCACACAGTACAATAAATAGATCACGAAATAGAATAGGCCTTGCATGTTTATGACTGCACGCTTATCATATTAAGAACAATAAATAAACATCCATAATAGAGGTTTTTTTGGGTTAGATAGCGTAAAAATAATGTCGTTAAACCCGCCACCACCAAACCTACAAAATCTTGTGGGTTTACTCCTCAACACACAAGCGGTGTGCTGAACTAGTAACTAATTGGCATGTTTTGTTTACGTGACAAACTTTACCAATTGGCTGTGTCAGGTGGTGGCGGGTTTAACGACACATTTATATTTACGCCATCTAACAAAAAACATTATGGATCACAGAGATTTGTAGGACTCTTCCTCTATTGGGTTTTAATTCTAAGATGTTTTCAGCCAATTTATGAGTCATCCATATTTCTGTACATTTTCAACGTTGCATACCATACTTGCTGGGGGACGACGGTATAGACGGATATGCGAATAAGGTCGTATTAGAGAACATGTAGAGCAAATGACTGCTAAGACCACCGTGTACCAACGCCGCACTGAGTGTGGGCGCTTAATTGGTCGGGTAGGATCTGTGACGCTTAGGTATGCGTCCTGAATTACATGCGGCCCTCTAACCACAACTTTAACAACACATATTTGACACGAAACATTTTGCTGGCAGCGTCACTCCCACTGGAATCCGAAGAGTAATGAATCGGATTGAAAAGCACTATGCTTGTTTGAAATGAAGCACTCTGATCGCGTAACTCGCCGACTTGCAACTCAACCGCTTGATCGAATTAAATTATATTCACTGTGTCCCAAAATGCATTTATTCGGGGTGGGTGGGGGGTGTGTGGGGACAACTACGTTAAGGCACGTACAGGTATGTTTTTTTGTTTAATCCTGGTCGCTCGTATGATATTAGTTATTGTTGGGTAGGACATAAACCAGTGTTTGTCCGCCCTATCAATATGCACTTGTAATTCAAATAAGGGGCACTTTCTCACGTGCAAAAAAAAACCCACAGCGAAGAATAGGAAAACCCCAGTACAGTAACTGTGTGTGATGCAGGCTGCTTGCTACTGCAGTGCGTGCGCACTTATCGAGAGCAAAAGCGACAAAGTGCGGCCAACTCAAGGCACGTGGTCAGAAGGTGTGCCTCGTCTGGGATGAGGATTGCCTGGCGCTTGTACGTTTCATTCGTCCAATGCTACGGGATACACAGCGGCAATAAACGTATTTAAAATACGTGAAATCGAACGGAGATGGTTGTCCATAGCATGATTGGCCACGTGAGTGTCTTGCGTGTGAGCACTTGTGAATAATTCTCGTGCGGTGCCTCTGTGGTTGGCGCGCTGAGCCACGGACCGTGTGAGCCAAGTCCGATTCGCACTCACTACCAATAACAGCGACGGCGAATGTCCGAACAGCTCCTGGGCCTCCCAGAGCTAAACACACATTCCTGCGGAGGGAGATGGTAGGAACGTTGGGTTGCTCGGTCAATGGCCAGGGTCAACGGCGGCGTGGTGTATTCCGCAAATATAGCCGACTGTGAGGGCGGGCACAAGCCGGCGTGAGTAGGTTAAACGTTGAGTTTTATAAGGGCACCACGGGGTGACCAGCCCGTCCCCACCCAGCCCCTCTCCACCCTCCCCTCCCCACCCAGCCCCTTCCCACCCTCCCCACCCAGCCCCTCCCCACCCTCCCCAGCCCCACCCCTCCCATTTTTGGATGCACGACGGACGGACGGACACAATAATCCCCTGTGGGCTGGTGGAACCAGGTGGTTCCTACCAGTATTAGTACTGGTGCTGTGTGTGTAAACATCAGCACTGGGGGAGACAAAGGTGGCCAGGCATGGTATTGGTCACCCACTCGTGTGCGCCGTGCCGGCCTTCGTGAGTGTTCGATTTACGGCAATTGCCCCATGAGTTTCTTAAAGGCTGTACAGGGTGATCTTGTCTTTTTATGTTGAGCAGTGTGGGTCAGCAGTTGCGTGATTAGATCTGCCAAACTATTGGTTGGGTGCGAGAAGTCACCCCCGGCCCACCACACCAACCAGGACTGAACAGCGTGGTGGACGGTAAGGCATGAAGAAGCCTTCATCCAACGGGGGATTGACAGAGGGCTGAATATAGTCGCCTCTGTAAGGAGGGCCCAGACCGTTAACACTGCCCAGTGATCTCGCTTTTGCTGCTTGTTGCAGAGGCTCGCGGTTCAATTCCATCATTATTACTGCGGGTATATTAAGCCACAATGCATGCTACTTTATGTTTAACTTCTTTCGCGCAGGACGGAGGCAATCTGAGTTGCGAAATGAACGCCTGCGTCATCCGAATGCCCCAGGTCACACGTGCAAACGAGACCACCCTGGGTCTCTTTAGTTCTCACTTGGCGTTAGACAAAATAAAGCTTATCCATCACAGAGGTTTTTGGGTGGAAAAAAATAAACCTTCAACTCGTCCACGGAAAGCAGGGCATTAGCAGATAAAACTTGCCATCTGCTGGATGGATTGGGGATCTCCAATTTGTCTCGGCCCATGATAATGCATCGCAAAAGTCACGACTTGAGGTTATCACAGCCGGTGTTGTTGATACACCACCACACCTCTGCTGAATCCCGTCGTCGTTGCTGAAGTTGGCATGGTATTAACGTGAAAAAATACTATCGAAAGTACTTTCTCTTTCCACATCTGAATGACACTTTAAAGACAGAAAATTTTCACACGCGGATCAGGTGCGCGAGGCGACGGTTACGAATCCGAGCGGAGTGGCAGTAGAGTTGAGAGATGGAGCGATGAAATGTGTCTGTGTGCAGGTGCGGAGCGCATTACTACGTCGCGGCATCGTGAGCGGTGGCCGCGGCCTCTATCCTGCAGTGGATTGACCCTGGCTGATGATGACGAAAACAATTGGTCCGGGATCACCTGCAAGATGTGTGTCGTACTCCACAGCCCTTTGTCGATCTGTTGTCGATTGGGTGGGGGGGGGGTGCAGTGGGGTACCCCCCCCGCGTTATTTGACTTCACTGGGCATTTCTGCAGGTTGGCATATGACGCCCAGTGTCCGATGAAGCGGGGCCTTAGCATATGTTATAAAGGGGCCCTAAATAAAAAAAAAAAACTTTAATATTAAAAGACATACATTTTTAACTTGCAAAGTAAAGTAATTGTATTTTTTCATTTGCGATACAGCCAGAAATTACGACAAATTGCTAACCTTAAACACCCAGTCGTTCATAAAGTTTGAAGGGCAGTATATTACTATAGTAATAGAGCAAGTGCAGAGTCACTGAACCGGAATTGATGGCGTGAAAGCATTTCTCGCGTGGGGCCCTTGAAAGTGCGGGGCGCGTAGCTACTATATATGTAGTAGCTACTTTTGCTACTATAGGATAATCCGGCACCGGTGACGAATACGTGATTTGCTTTTGCCAGCAACAACAGGCTTCACGGTATGACAGCGGGCTGGAGACGCAGCAGCTGTTGGAGGTGGGTGGTCTGTTTTTGTTTCTTGTTACCAGATTCCGACACCCGAGAATACTTCATTACTGACACAGAAATAATATCGGCGGGCCCAGCACATTCCCCAAGATCGCGTTCAGCTTGGCCGTCCGTCCTCTTTCACGTCCGCACTATTAAATTAGCGAATTGGGGGCTCCAATTCATTACTGGGCGGCGTTTCATGCCCCGTTCGCTGAACCCAAACGTCGAAAGGGGTGGTGGAGGGAGGGGGGGATTGCAGGAAAATAATCGCGTTACCGAAGATGATGATGATGAAGATGGCGATGTTCCAGTACCGGGTTAAAATAAGATGGTAAGGCGAAGCGCCCGAATCTCGCCGAATATAAAATTAACCTTTTTTGCAGATCGGTGGTGGCGAGAGACGGGTGAGAGGATGGTATCCAGTGTTGAGGCAACTTGCAAATAAGTGGGTAGATGAGTGTAAGTGCATCGAGCGTGCACCAGAAGAGTTGCGTAACTGCGGTGAAATGTGTATTTTTTCAACGCCAAAAAATATATTTCATTTGTATAGTTTGAGCCGAGACGGAATAGAGTGTTGTACGTAAAGTGTGTTTCGTGTGTGTACTACAACCCTATGTGTACACACACACGCGCGCGTGGTACAGAACCCGCAAAACCAGCTAGGTGGGCGATATCAACACAGGTGCAGGCGTCACCACTGAGTTGGGAGATTTACTGGTAGAAACCTCCTGGATACACCAGCCCACAGGGCATTATTGTGTCCCGTTGTGCAGGGAGGGGATGGGTGGGGAGGCAGGGGCTGGGTGGGGAGGGGAGGGGCTGGGTGGGGAGGGTGGGGCTGGGTGGGGAGGGGAGGGTGGGGAAGGGCTGGGTGGGGAGGGGCTCGTCACCCCGTGGTGTCCTTATAAAACTCAACGTTTAACCTACTCACGCCGGCTTGTGCCCGCCCTTAGTTGGCCATATTTGCGGAATACACCACGCCGCCGTTAACCCTGGCCATTGACCGAGCAACCCAATGTTCCTAACAGCTCCCTCCGCAGGAATGTATTAAAAAAAGCATTCGGTGCGGGCGACAAGGAACTCATGAAGCACAGCACGGCGTCCGTTCGTACAGCACCGAGAGACCCTGCACCTGGAATTTAAAGACCCTGCACCTAGAGCCTTGAAATCCTTCACCGAGAGCCTGAAGAAACCTTTCACCTTGAGCCGAGAGACCCTGAACGTGGAGCCAGGTCCCTGCATCTGGAGCCGTCTAAAGTGTGAGTTGTTTCCCCCATCGCCGAAGCCCAGGTGTTGGATCCAGATTGAGTGACGAATGAATGGGAGAGTAGGAGCTGTGAGGCTTGGCACGCGAAGTGGATCAATAACATTCTGATAATCCGCTCCAAGCAGACACAAGACACGGCACAGATCCCCCGTGTAACCTGAACACTTTTAAAGCCCCATCGATGTGTTCTGTGTGTCCAGTGGAAGCTCAGGTGGGGGTAGCTAGTTAGGCCCAAGTGTTACTATTTGTGTTGCAGACACGGCTCGTCCACTAGGGCCGTTGGGAAGGACCCCACCAAGCAGCTGGAGATGAGAAATTCTTTTTCTAATAAAAAAAATACTTTTTTAGAAATAGTTTTGTTGTGTTTCAAACAATTAAAATAAAAATAATTCTTTCAACGTCAATTGCCTAATGAAGATGACATTTGAAGTTGTTCGCATTAGAAACCGCTGCAACACCACAGTCTAATTTGTACTCTTATGTTTTTTCGGTAAAGTCACGTAGGTAAAAATAAATAAAATAATAATAAATTAAAATAAATCAATTAAATCACGACGTTTCGGAGGCAACACAAGTCTCCGTCTTCAGGTGGGATCGTCACAGCTAAATTTACTGTATCAAGTGAGGATAAATCATACAAGTTAAGGGGAGGGGGGGGCTTATCTAAATGTGGTAGTCAGGGACTTGAACGGTGGGGGGGGGGCTAGAAGGGAAGGTGGGCGGGGCTAGAAGGGGGAGGTGGGCGGGGCTAGAAGGGGGAGGTGGGCGGGGCTAGAAGGGAAGGTGGGCGGGGCTAGAAGGGAAGGTGGGCGGGGCTAGAAGGGGAGGTGGGCGGGGCTAGAAGGGAAGGTGGGCGGGGCTAGAAGGGAATGTGGGCGGGGCTAGGAGGGAAGGTGGGCGGGGCCAGAAGGGGAGGTGGGCGGGGCTAGAAGGGGGAGGTGGGCGGGCTAGAAGGTGGGCGGGGCTAGAAGGGGAGGGTGGGCGGGGCTAGAAGGTGGGCGGGGCTAGAAGGGAGGGTGGGCGGGGCTAGAAGGGGAAGGTGGGCGGGGCTAGAAGGGAAGGTGGGCGGGGCTAGAAGGGAGGGTGGGCGGGGCTAGAAGGGGGAGGTGGGCGGGGCTAGAAGAGGGAGGTGGGCGGGGCTAGAAGGGGGAGGTGGGCGGGGCTAGAAGAGGGAGGTGGGCGGGGCTAGAAGGGGGAGGTGGGCGGGGCTAGAGGGGAGGGTACAATTGGAGAACCTCAACCGGGGTTACTGCCGATGTTGGCTGCCACATCAAAAATAGCAGCGCTGTTAAACGCTGGGGATGTCAACACTCGGTAAAATAGACTAGTACCTAGACTTGAAGCTTTCGTGACTGCAAGGAATCATATTCTTAGGTGTTTTCGGTAAAGTCACGTAGGTAAAACATCAAAATTAATAAAATATTAAAATAAAAATAAAGATCACGACGTTTCGGAGACTTGTGTTGCCTCCGAAACGTCGTGATCTTTATTTTAATTTTATTATTTTATTAA